ATACCCTATACACCTATATAGGGTGAACTGTACTCTCCAGCAAATCCTGCCAAACTGGAAAAACTTCAAATACCAACGGACTCCATGTCTGTGGTCTGAGGTATTATCCACTAACAACAATAGAATCATGGACTTCTAAAAGACCAAAATGAGTTCATTTTCTGATATTAATAATGCTTGAATAATGATCCCTGGATTAAATTTGACCACTGCAACCAATAAAACAGTAAAACAAAGTAACATGAAAGACCTAGTAGGAATGTTTTATGTTTTTTTGGCATTAGATACTTTGAGGTCAGCCTAACTTTTCAGGAGGTAGTGAGATGGAAGGATAAAAACAAAAATCATTCAACATTCCAAAAACATTTACTGATCACTTACTAGGTGCCAAACAGTGCTAGTCACCATGGAAAGTACAAAAGAAGCATGAAAGATTGTGTCTATCCTCATGGAGCTTATAGTCTAGGTGGAGTCAAAACTAATATAAATGTTTAAATTCTAGTAACTTAAACCTGTATTAAGACTATTGGGACAACTTATATACTGAACTTAACAGAGCAGCATCTGCCTTCCTTGAAATAAAGACACCCTAATTTGGGAGATCTCTTCATATACCCTTAGAATCCTGGATTCTACAAGTTTAACCTTTTATACTGAACTGAATTGCCACATTTCCTACTGGGAGAATATTCTCAAGCAATTTCCTGAGCTGCAGGGTATATATATTTTAGAAGGGCATATTGGCATAGTAAAGGGATTCTTAACCTGTAATCTATGAACTTTTTTAATATTTTGATAACAATACAACTTGTTTCCACTGTAATCCTAAGTATTTTATTGTATTCATATAAAAACTTTATGCTGAGAAGGAGTCTTTAGATTTCACCAGACTGCCCAAGCATACGTGACCAAAGAGAAGAACCAAAGGTATTGTCGAAAGTATCATGCTGCAGCAAATAGAGTACTAGACTTGGAAATAAAAAGACTTAGGTCCAAATCCCACCTCAGACACTTACTAGTCGTATGACCTTGGACAAATTATTAGCTAGCTCTAAGCCTGTTTCCTCTTCTGTCAAATGGGGATAATAATACCTGTAGCCCCTCCCTTGAAGAGTTGTCGTGGGGCAGCAGCTAGGTGGTGAAGTGGATAGAGCTCTGGCCTTGGAGTTAGGAGGACCTGAGCTCAAATCTGGCCTTAGACACTTGATATTTACTAGCTGTGTGACCCTGGGCAAGTCACTGAACCCTGATTGCCTCACCCCCAAAAAAATATATATTTTTAATATCATTACTAAACATACATGCACCAAATGGTATAGCATAATATTGATAGACTTAACCCTTCTCAGAAATGCAAGAATCTAAGACATCTCCAAAGGCCTCATGATGGAAAATGCTATCCACAAAGAAGAAAGAACTATGGAGTTTGAATGCAGATCGAAGCATACTATTTGCTATTTTTTTTTCTTCTGTTGTGTTTTGTTTCCTCTTTCTGGTGGTTCCTCCTATTGGTTCTAATTCTTACTTACAACATCACTAATGGGAAAATATGTTTAATAGGAAGGTATATGTATAGCCTATATCAGATTGCACACCATCTAGGGGAGGAAGGTGGAGAGGGAGGGGGAGAAAAATTTAAAACTCAAAAGCTTATGGAAGTAATTGTTGAGAAATGAAAATAAATTAATTAAGAATAAATAAACAAATAAATAAATTTAAAAGAAAAAAAAGAGCTGTCATGAAGCCCAAATGAGTTTATGAATATAAAGTATTTTACAAAATTTAAAGTGCTATATTAATATCTGTTTATCATCGTCATCAGTCAGGCTAGGAGTCAGCTCAGTATAGGCTGCCCTCATTGCCTCGGATCAGTCTGGCTCAATCACTGTCTAAGTCTGAGACCCTTGGTTAAGTTATAGCTCCCAGCGTCTCAATTTTTTTTCTCCTTATAGGGATAGTAACACCTCCCCTTCCACCTCTGAAGGTGGTTATAAAAATAAAAGAATGTCTAGACAAAGAGGTGCTTTTGAAAAACTAAAAGTAATTATACATATTCAAGATAGTGATTATACCAGGGAAGCCATGACCATAGGCCTCCCTCTTAATAAACAAAGCCACAACACAAGAGTTTCAGCACTGAGTATCCCATGACAGATTTCCGGCTCTGCCTGTTTCAATCCTAGGTAGGATATTTCCTCATTTCATCTATACAGGCAGGTACTAAGTAGCTAGCCTTTAAGTATCTCAGATAATATGGGGGAGGGGGTATCTGATAAGCAAAGAATTCCAGGAAGGAGACCTGGGAATGTGATCTCATTCTGCTTAATATTCAAGCTATGAACACTTGACTTCATCACCCACTGCCAAATCCTTTATGGTTTGAGTACAGCTGTTGCCATATAACTTTACTTTATGCTATTTAGTTTTTATAGCATTTCAATCATTTGCCTTTCCCCCAGGAAATTATTAATTTAAATTAATTGGCTCTTTATGGACTACAGTTAAAAGAAAAAGCCTTAATAAATTTTTCAATTGAATTTCTGAATTCATGCATTCATTAATTTTCCTATTTCTTACGGCAAAAAAGAGAAGACATATTCCATCAGTAGAGTTGTGTTGGAAGCATTACTTACTGGACTAGAGTACATATTCTACAAAGGAAAAAAGCGTATAGGTTGACACACTGATACTATGTAATTCATATTAGATAGACCAACCCACAGGATCCTTTATTCACTGGGTCATGATTCACACGATGGATTCAGAACTTGTCTTGTTTTTGTAATTTTTTATCAAGTTACTAAGCATTCCTTTTTTTTCCTTTCCCCTTCCTCCATCACATTGGGGGAGGTGGGGAGGACAAAAAGAAAATTCCTATAACAAACATGTAGAATCAAGCAAAACAAATTTCCATATCTAAAAATGTGTCTCATTCTGTCTTTTTAGTCCACCGCCTCTCTGTCAAAAGGGGAATAGCACGCATCATCATCTGTCATCTGGAATCAAGATTGATCTGAGCAGAATTCATCTTTTCTACTGTTAAACTGTTCATTGTTTTATTTTAACTAAATGCTGCTGCATTTTTAAAAATTCAAATATAGCTTCATAATTCTTTTTATTTTGCTCAAGATTTCTTAATTGTAGCTTAACAAAATACTCATTTGGCAAGTCATGCAGCCTCTTTGTTTTGTATGCTGAGTGTATAGGTTTAACGTCTTTTTAACCTTGTTTATATTACCTAATCTTATTTGAATTTTCATAGGTATCCTAAGGAGTATTGTCCTTAATGGTACATTCTTTATTTGTTGGTGGTTCATTAGCTCCATTAGTTAGACCATCCCGGTAGTAATGCCGAGGTCGTGAATTCAGACCTCACTTGAGCCAAGTAGTTTTGCTCTGTTTCATCATATGAGAAAAGAGTAAATGTATTCTTGCTATCACAAAAAGAACTCAAAGCAGGTAGGTTACTTACTGGGGAGGAGAAGGGGCTGGTCAGTGCCATGGTCATGCATAGAAGATGATCTATATTATTATTATTGTTATTATTGCCTTTATTTAAGATTTTTTTCTTTTCCTTTTTTTCCTTTTTTTAAGATTTTTTTTTTCTTTTCTGGGTTTAGGTCTATGAAACAGTTGGCTATGGCAGCAGTAACTTGTTAGCAGAAGTCTTTTTACCCATCCCTGAGACAACAGTGTTCACTGGAAGGGCCTCTATTGAAGAAATTGAGTTTAGCAGCAATCAGCACGTGGCACTGGACCATGAAGGAGTCGGAAGTGGTACAAAGAGCTTCTTATCCTTAACATTTCTTGCTTATGTTTTAGCATTTGACCACATAGTTTGGCACACTTCTTTGCTTCTAGACAATGGGATTGTCATAAAATTGGCAGTAGAGATTTTTGGAATGTTATAATCTTTCCAATAATATTATTTTTACATGCAAATTTTTAATAGATGTGTTTTGGATAGCATTCTCTAAAATATTATTGGTTCTGTAGAAGTTACTTATCTTTTTAGATGAACAATAATGATTGCTATCATTTCCATTTTGTACAATAAGGATGAAAGAAAAAAAAACCATGCTTTACAGAAAGAGTTCCTAACATTTTTGTGTGTATCATGGAAAAAAATGGCAGACTGGAGAAGCCTATAGACTCCTTTGGAGAATAATGGTTTTAAATGTATAAATCAAAATACATAGGCTTTCAAAGAATTACATTAATATATTTACATATCAAATATATTAATATTAAAATTTAGTTGCTCTTCATGTGGATTTTCTCAGTATGTGATATGCTTCTTACAGGTGAACCCTTTTCATTTGAAGCTGACGGCAGCAACAAAATGATTTTAATGACCTCTGGTAAAGTGTCAAATAGCGTTGCCTGGGCAGTTGGAGAAAATGGGATACCTTTGATCCCCCCAGCATCACAGCAAAATGTTGGCATTCGAAGGTAATATTTGATTAGTATACACGATAGAGAAACTCAAGGCTATTAAGAGAAAGCATGTGTCACATTCATTTTCTTATTTTAACACAACAGCTATTGGCAAGATTTCTTGTTCCAAAAAAAGGATACATTCCATGCAATATGTGAGAGTGGAAAATGTCACAGTTATAGGACTTTGCCTCCCTACATTCCTGTTGCCTGGGATGCCCTCCTCTCCAACCCTGCACACTCTTGCTTCTCTGAAGGCTATCCTACCTGTTTAAGTCCCATCTTTATGAAGTTTTCCCACAGTTACCCTGTAATAACAAGCATTCACATTTATATGATGCTCTAAAATTTGTAAAACACTAACTTCACAACATCTTGGGAGACAGATTATCCTCACTTTATGGATAAGGACACTAAGGCTTAGATATTTAAAATGATTTGCTTGTGGTCACACAACCAGGAAGTGTCACAGCTGGGTTGGTAATATCTCACATTGATCTGGGTTGTGTTATTTTTTTTAAGGTCTACAAAGCACTTCCCTTATAATGACCTTGTGAAACAGGCAATGTCAGTGTTGTAATCTGCATTTTATAGAAGAGTATACTGAGGCTCAGAATTCTGAGCTTCCACGACTAGGAAATATCAGATCTCAGATCCAAACCTAGATGCCCTGATGGTAAATTTAATTCCCTTTCAACTTTACAGCACTACCTCTCTAGTCAACAGTCATTTCTGAACGTCTATGGTCCTTAGCCTATACTCTCTTTGGTCCTTTGCAATTACACCTGGTATTATTCATTATTTTCTTGCTGTTCTTCACATGTGGCATTGCAGCTCTTCTCTGTGTGCCTTTGACAGGCCATTCTTCATGCCTAGAATGCATTCCCTCCTCATATCTACTTATAATCCCTAGCTTTCTATTGTCCCCCTCCCAGGTTCTAGTACCTTGTTCCCCCACAAGTTATCTTGTCTATACTATACATATATGTGTGTGTGTGTGTGTGTATGTGTGTGTGTGTGTATGTATGTATGTATGTATCTATATTTTGTAACTCCTTTAGAGCAGAGACTGTCTTGGTTTTTTTTCTTAATATTCTCAGTGGCTAACACATATAGCAGGCACTTAATAAGTACTTATTGATTGGTTGATTGATAGATACATGTAATGATTACCAGTCTTGAATGTAAAGCCCATGAGAACAGAGGCCATATCTTATAACTCTTTATACTCCCAATAGGCTAGAATAATTCTATCCATGGCTATATATCTATATAGACAGCAACAGATCTATATAACTAGATAGGTATGTCTATATACATTTAAGTATATATAAATATTTTGATATGTAGATAGCTAGGTATCTATATGTATCTATAAATCTACATATCCATGTCTCCATATACATTGATATATTTCTATATCTACATTCAATATTGATATATTTGTACATAGATATGTATATAAATATTTATATAGATATGTATATAGATTTTACTTTGCCATCTATACATCTAAGATATGTATATATGTATATAAATAGATATATGTATATATGATATATAAATAGATATGTATATAAATAGATAGCTATAGATCTACATATCTAAGTATCTATATATCTAAACATATATGTAGGTGTATAAATAACTATATGTCTACATATCTCTGTATCTACATATCTATATACATACATAAATGTAAAGATATCTGTGCCAGCATGAGATCAGAAAATAGTGGATTTTCCATAAATGTTAATAAATGACACAGAAAACATCTTCTAAGGACATGTATATACTCAGCCAGCTAGGTGGCAGAGTAGATTGAGCTCCAAGCCTGGAGTCAGGAACATTCATCTTCCTAGGTTCAAATCTGGCCTCAAACATTTACAAGCTGTATGATGCTGAGCAAGTCACTTAACTTTGTTTGCCTCAGTTTCTTCATCTGCAAAATGAGCTGGATAAGGAAATGGCAAACCACTCCAGTATCTTTGCCAAGAAAACCCCAAATAAGATCACAAAGAGTTGGATACAACTAAAAAAACAACTGAACACCAACAAGATGCATATACCTGGTTTTACATTTTCTCTTATTTGCAGATCCCTTGGGATACACTCTTAGCAATGCAAAGTCACTCCAGAAACCCTTCAGAAATATCAATTTGCAGAATTGCTAGGCAAAGTAGGTTTCCTCTATTGTCCCCATCATCTCTTCCTTTCTTTTGATTACTGCTAATAGAAGCAGTAAAGTGTAACATAAAAAGCCCTGGACTGGGAATCAGGAGTCCTGCATTCTGGTCTTTCCCTTTAGCTGAGCCAGTCACTTAGCTTGTCTGGACTTCAATTTCCCCATGTGTAAAACACATAGGGCAAATGATGTTATCTGTCCAATCCATGGGTTCTTAACTTTTTTTTATGTCATAGACCCCTTTGTCTGGTAAAGTCTATGGTGCTTTCTCAGGATAATGTTTTTAAATGTATAAAATAAAATACATAGGCTTAAAAGGTAATCAATTATATTGAAATATATGATCAAGATTTTTTTTAAGTTCAACAACTCCAGGTTAAGAACTCTGACCCAGTCCCTTCCAACTCTGGAACTTATGAATAGTGTTGATTTTCTTCCTTTCTTTCACCCTAACCCAGTATCATGTTAACATAGCCATGTTACAAATAGACTGAGAGTGAATAAAAATGAGAATGATCTGGAGCTTCTTCTCCACCTCAAAATGTGTTTGACTTTCTCCTGTTGAAGTCCTTCAGATTAATATGACTTAGGTTGAGCACATGACATCTTCGTGTTAATTAAAGCCTTCCATATAATCATGACAGGAGAGAAAAATATACACACGTTGAAAAGACCCATACAAATAAAGGCTGGGGAGCAGAGTGGAAAGAACACGGGAACCGGAAGGGAGAAGGAAATGAGCATTTATTACGCACCTACTATACATCAGGCATTTTGCTAAGCGCTTTATAAATATTTTCTCATTTGATCCTCACAACAATCCAGAAATGTAGATGCTATTATTTTCCTCATTTTATAGTTAAGGAGACTGAGGCAGAGAGAGGTTAAATTATTTGACCTGGGCCACAGATCTAGTACATTTCTGAGGCTGAATTTGAACCCAGATCTTCCTGACCTGGAAACATAAGTCTTTGTTGTTGTTCAGTCATTCAGTCATGTCCAGCTCTTCATGACTCCACGGACCATAGCATGCCAGGCTCTTCCATCCTCCACTTTCTCCCAAAGTCTGTCCAAGCTCATGTTACTTACTTCCATGAAAGGCGGCACAGAAATCACAAGATCTACTTCCTATCTGTATTACCCTGAGAAAGTCACTTCTTCTCTGGGCCCAGCGTTCCTCAGCTATAAAATGCTGGAGTCAGACTAGAGGATCTTAGAAATCTCTTCCAGCTCTAAATCCTATAATCCCACTGACTTACTTGGATCTGCCTTGAAATTCTCTTCTGTCAAAAGTGGATGCTGGTCCATGCAGCTTTATTTTCTCTCAACTTTGTGTTCAGCGCATTGCTACAAATGGTCACCAGATGAGTATGATTTACAGCTTTCTAATGCCTCTATAATCTGAAGTCAATGGATGGCTTTGATTGGCCCAGTTCCCCCTGAGAGCAATCAAAGTTCATTTTTCAAACCGGTTCCTAGCATTCAGTACAGATCTGGTTTGGGTCATTCCCATTTATGTCGGCAATAATTCTTTTCATTTGCTTGGATGCCACAAACATATTTACAATTTGTTATCAAGTAAGGAAAATACAGAAAGTGCTGCACTGATTGAGGGGAAAGGGAGTGGCTCTCAAATGAAGAATAAAAAGGATAGAACCATAATAAGAAAGCAATTGGTAGATTCTCCTTATCCTGATTGAAAACTGATTTTAAATCTGAATAATTTGGGACTTCCTTTATGATTTCAATGCTTTAAGGAAAGTTGATGCCATCGCATCCATTGGTGCATCGGGTTTAACGGATATGAAGAAGCTGGCAAAGTGGGCAGCAGAATCAAAACTGGACCCAAATGACCCAAACAATGCCTCGCTGATGCAGCTAATCACGGTAAGGAAGGCTCCCAATCCCGCTTGGGTGAATTGTGTGTCGAAAAGTAACTTAGCCTTCTGAGGATAATTATATCCAAACAAACAACCTTAGCTGAAGGTGACTGAAATCTTTATTTTACATCGATACTTAGCAGTTGAGCTATTTTTGTCCAATATAACACTAGAAGTTTTGGTGATTATATCAGTCAGGGACCTCATTTTTTCCAGGCAACCAATTGAATTGTTTTCTTGGAAGTGCTCACATTAGCATAAAAATATAATAGATAAACAAATATACTGGCCGGGAAGTGCTCCTAGCAACATGTTCCTGTGATTGTGTTTATTATGATGATTTCATCAGTGAGATAATTATAACCAGGGTGAAGATTTTCCATTTAGATTCTAGCCTTTTAGAGATTTGTCCCAATGTAAGTTCATATAATTTATTTAATATTCGTTACTAAAGTTTACATTGCATAAAAACAGGAAACATATTTTAGTGTTCTTTGCACCCTTCAAGGTCTATTGCAGTTTGCCTACTACATTAAAGATGCTTATGTTTGTTGAAGGAATGAAAGCTTTTTGCTAAAATACTCTTTCTTAATTCAGGTGTTACAGACATTAGTAAAGAATAAATCTAAAATTTAAGAGCAGTATAATTTGTTGCAAGTAGACTTCTATTTTTTTTGTTTTGTTTTTTTGCTAGGCAATGGGATTAAGTGACTTGCCCAGGGTCACATAGCTAGTAAGTGTTGTGTGTATGAGGCCAGATTTGAACTCAGGTTCTCCTGAATCCAGGGTCAGTGCTCTATCCACTGCGCCATCTATCTGCCCCACAAGTAAACTTTTAAAACTGTATTTATTGTCATATTTTTTTTTACATAGAATGGATTTATAACTTCCTTCTCAATTTGTATTCCAACTGTCTTCCTACAACAGTAATAACATATTTATATGGTATTTTAAGGTGGTATTTTAAGGTTTGGAAATCTCTTTTCTCTCAAATCTGAGAAGTAATATATCATCAGTCCCATTTTGCAGATTAGGAAATTAGGATTCAGGCAGGTCAGATGACTTACACTTGGTCATACAGCTAGTAAGAAAATAGTTTAGCTACAACATTTAATTGCAAAGAAAAAGAAAAGGCTAAAAACATCAAACCTAACTTTTCTAGTTTACAAATCTGGATCTATAAGGCTAGTATGGTTTGAGAGTCAGCATGGTATGATAGAAAGAGCCCTGAATTTGGAAGCAGAAGACCTGGGCTTGAACCTCAAACTCTGCTATTTACTACCTATGTGGTCACTTCCCTCTGTGAAATTAGAGGTTTAAATTAATCTGTTACTAAGTTCCCTTCAACCTCCAAATCTAATGGTCCTATTTACTGGGTTTGCTTAGTTTAAAGCAGATCTATATCACTTATCCCTTCTCCCCCCGCCCCACACACACACACACACACATAAAGACACACATTGTATACATACACACTCAGGAACTAAGTTATGTCCAGTAGTCACGCCTCCTGGACATGGTGTGAGCACACTTTTGGAAAAGCAAATGCCTGGGAAACAGGACTGGCAACACTAAAATGAGTGAATCTCTCAATTAAGTGGCATCCAACAAACTGCTCGCCCTCCTACTGAACTAGTCATGGCATCAGTCCAGTGTGCCGTCACTGAGTCTTTGTTGGTATTTGAATCCCAGGAACACAATGTGTGGCTATAGAACAAAGCAAAACTCACCAATTCATCTGGGGATTGAACCTATGACTGTGGTTTCCTCAAAACCACTGTCTTCTTGTGTCATTTTTGAAACTCAGAAGGGGCTTTGCTTCATGTAGTAGAGCAATTCACTGCTGTCTGACTCAAAGGAGTGAATAAATGATTGACAAAGAATTCATTAAGTACTCCTTCTGTGGCCAGCATGGTGCTAAGTGCTAGGGATGGAAATGCAAAATCAAAGGCAGTTTCTGCCCTCAAGAGACTTTCTGTCTAATTGTGGGAGACCACACATGGTGGGGGGGGTGACCAGGGAGGGTCCCCTCAGTTCAAGTGACAAAGATGTTGAATGGGACCCTAGAGAAATAGATGGGTGAGGAATAGGGAGTGAAGTATAGGCCAGTTGAGGCAGTCACCAATGAGGACAGAGGGGTCACCAAATGGAATTTTCAGAGATGAAGGAGGTTAAACCTCCAGAGTATGATCTCTGGTCTGGCTGCTGAGGAGGCTGTTGAGAAGAGGACCAGGAGTAGAGAATGAGAAAGAAAAGTATGGATGGAAAGTATGAGAGACATTGTGTCTAGTTCAATGAAAAGAGGCCTGGACCTAGAGTCAGAAGAGATCTGGGTCCAAATATCCTGCTTCAAACACTTACCAGTTGTGTGAGCATGGGCAATTCTTTCATCTTCTCTGACCCACAATTTCCTCATCTGTGGATTGCCTTGCCCAAAAAATTCTTCACCTACTTTCTTTATTTTTTGTAATCACAATCACCCTGTGAGGTAGGTGGTATTATTGTCGCAGTTTTTCATGTGAGGAAGCTGGAATGGAAAAGGGTTAAGTGGCTTGACTAGGGTCACACAGCTAGTAAGTGCCCTAGGGTGGATTTGATCTCAGATCTTCCTGATTCCAAGCCTGGCCTTCTATCCACTGAACCACCTAGCTGCCAGACCTTCAATTCCATTGGCACCACCTTAGAGAATACAGGGTCACCTTCATACTGTATTGAGCCCTTGCAGTTGGATTTTGAATATTTTATCAGATTAAATACTCAAATAATTAATTGCCTATTACCACAAGAGCTGACCTACACATGTAGCATTTGTCATAATAAGTTCCACACACACAATCTACAAAGACAGGTTGATGTGAATGATAATGTATGTGTTATAAGTTCATATTCCTTATTTTCTCTAGGTTGCTACCAGTGGAGATACTTATGTTCCAGAATTCTTCAGACTGGAGCAGTTGCAACAAGAATTTAATTTTGTTTCAGATGAGGAGCTAAATAGATCTAAGCGATTCAGACTTCTACATCTCAGAACCCTGGAGGTACCAGAGTTCCGGAATTTTAAGCAAGTTCCCATTTATGACCGAGAAATCACGGAAAAGGTATTCCAGGTAAGACATTTTCTCCATCAACACTTCAAAGGTTCTCTGGCTTCATCCATGTGGGTATTTCCGGCACCACAGCATGGTAAAGTGTCTAGTGATAAGTAGACTGAAGCATACTACCCACAATGACTTGCATGTCAGAAGCTGCATAAAAGACATTATCAAGGCCATGTATAACCAGAAAAGGAAGTAGACCTGTCATATAGCAAGAACAAGGAACAAGATAGTTATGAACACATGAATATATGAAATATGCATGACAAATGCATAAGATATGTGTCATACATGAAATATATTAAATATCAAAGACTTAGAGCAGAAGTTCTTAACTATTTTTTTGTGTCATGGACTCCTATGGCAGTCTAGCGAAGTCTGTGGACCTCTCCTTAGAATCATGTTCTTAAATGCATAAAATGAAATATATGATTACAAATAAAAATATTGAAATGCAATTATCAAAAATATTTTTTAAAAACAAGTTCACCCCAAGTTAAAAAGGCAAAAATATCCCCTGCCTTCAAGGAACTCACAATCTAACTGGGGGGACATTGTGCAAGCAACTATGTACAAACAAGAGATAGATAAATATTGATAGCTATTCTTTATAGATATCTATATGTCTAAATAGATCAATATCTATCTGTAGATATATATGAATATCAATAGATATCTCTATCAATATCTATCTGGATAGATACCTATCTAGTTCTATCTACTGATATCTATCTACATACATATATATGATAAGTTAGAGATTATCTCAGAGGAAGGCACTAATATTAAGGAAAAATGGAAAGGCTTTAGCAGGGGTTTGAGGTAAGACTTTCAGGAAGCCAGAGAAGCCAGGAGGTGGAGTCAGAGAGCTCATGCAAAATATTTCTCTGCCTGGAGGCATCTGTACTTTTCAATTTCCTGTTGGCTTTCCCCTCCAGGCCATGGGCCTTACTTTGGTCTCATCATTTGGTGTTTGCCTCAAGTTGACCAATTCTTTTCAGCCTCCCATATCACAAATGTTACCTGGGCTTATCTCTGACTTTACTCTTCATCTTGAGATACCTGCCTTCTTTCATGCCTAACTCTCCTTTTAGAAGACTGGATCCACAACCACTTTCCATTATTGCTCTCCACTGCCCTGTATTAAACATATACTAAACCTATTAACTGTTCAGCATACCCATATATACACTTAGCCAATTGTAGAGTCACTGGATAATAGATTTCAAGCTAGAAAGGACCTTAGGGGATGTCTGATCTAACTCTGTCATTTTACAAATGGGAAACTGGAGTCCAGAGTATGGGAGTGAATGGCCCAACAGTAAGTCTCAGAGCTAAGACACAGACTCAGATTCTCTGACTCTAGATACGATGCTATTTCCACTACACCATGGGTACCTCTAAGGAAGGACATGGAAAAGACTATAGAAGAAGTAAAGACAGAGATGGGTTGCAATCATCACTGGTAATACCTATATTGATAAACTCACACATCTGGACAAGAACAGCATACTCTGAGTTCAAATGAGAAAAGATAACTACCAACCTAGGAGGTCAGATAAAGTTTGCAATCTAGTTGGGGAGAAAAGATTCCATGAAACAAAAGCAAACAATCAAAGGTGGAACATACTTAAATTCTTTATGATATCAAAAGTAATTTTAAATAATAAAATTACATTTTATTTTAAATGCAGGACTATGAGAAACGGATACGTGAAAGAGGTGTAATTGAAACCAAGGATCACTTAGATACTCATAGAGCTATAGTGGCCAAATACCTCCAACAGGTGAGAACGATAAAGTCAATCTTTTTCTCTTTTGAAAAGAATCTTTTGTTGCATAGTACAAATTATTAGTAAATTACTATAGACCCAAGTGTGTTTAGCATTGAAAGAAAGAAAAAAAGTCATGTGGGTCTGATCCTAGACAAAAAACTCAAGTATATTTAGACAGAGGTGGTGTTTTCTTCTTTTCTTCCAGTGGAAATATGGGGCTTTGGAAAAGAAAGTAAGGTATAGGAAGTAAACTGCTGCCAGTGGAGATGGTAACGAAAAACAGGATTTGGCTTTCTGGACTACCACTAAACAAAATGGAATTTGGGGTTTCTGGTTAGGGACAGAACATATCTCATGAAGACAGGAAAGAACATTTGGGCAGCTTTCTCTATTTGATGAAGAAAAAGGTTTTAACTAGAAATGGAGTGTTTCATTGTCAGTTTGAATGCTCCTTGAAATGTTTTGCTTTCCCACACCAATAGCAACCGCAATATCTTTAACAGTCAGTGAAGTGTGCTCTTTTAAAGCTACAATCTTACTTAAAGTAAGTCAATTTTTAAAGCCATGGAATTAAAAATACAATGAGAGAGCATAAAACACATGAGTATGGCATGAAATCCAGCACTTAACTGACAGAGAACTAATTAAAGGGTAGGAAACCAATTCAATCCTTTTTCAGCTTTTTAGAATCAAACGTGGTGAATCAGACAAGTGTCAGTAAAAGCATGAGCATTCCTGTCACAAAATGAAACCACATCAGAGTCATTGCTTGTCTCAAGCAATTCATAAGTCACCTTAATTACATAGAAATATTTATACAATGAACACAAGGTAATTTGGGGGAGAGGCACCAAGGGAATCAGGAAAGGCCTTATGTACAAGATAGCCCTTGATCTGAGCTTTGAAGGAAACTCAGAATGTAAGAAGCCAAGGTGAGAAGGAAGTGAATTCTTGGCACGGGAGACAAGTGGGGCAAAAACATAAAAAAGAGAAGGTTGGATATCATGTGTGAACAAACAGAAGGGTGTTCAGTTTGGTTGGACTGAAGAGTGTGTGAAAAAGCGTAATGTTTGATAAGACTGGAAAGGTAGGTTGGAGGCAGATTTTACAATCAATCAATTAACAAGCATTAGTGCCAAACAGAAAAGTCCTATGTGACCCTAAAGATAATAAGGGGCCACTGGATTTTATTGAACAGGGAAGTGAGACCCGATTAGACATTTGCTTTAGAAATATCACTTTGGCCTCTGTGTGAAGGATAAATTAGAGAAGGCAAAGACTTGAGGGAACTAAAGAAATTAAGAAGCTATTGCAAAAGTCTAGCCAAGATGTGATGAAGGTCTAAATCAGGGTGATGGTGTGGGGATGAACAGAAGTCATAGAGGTTGAAATAACAAGACTAGGCAACTGATTGAATATGTGGGATGAGGGAGAGTGGAAAGTCAAGGAGGACTCTGGGGTTGCACACTTGTGAAACTAGAAGAATGGGAGGATTTCTTCAGCAGTTGTGTTTCAGAAATAGAAAAGTTTATTGAAGGGTGGGCCTGAAAGGAAAGAAAATGAGTTTTGATTTTGGATTTTATGAATTTGACCAATGTCTCTTTGATATCCAGTTTGAAATGTCCCATTAGTAGTTGGTCACATAGGACTGTAGTTCAGGAGAGAGACTAGGGATGGATGACCTGGGAATCATCTTCATAGAACTGATAATAAAATCCAAGGCAGCTGATGAAAGTGCCAAAAAGAGAGAGAAAAGAAAAGAGTTTGAATGCTTTAGATTTTTCTTCCTTTTTCTTCCTCATTGAGATCAGTGCTGATGGTATTGACGGAATTTTATTTTTGAAGGGTTCCCATTCCTCTTGAGCCCCCTTTCCTTTTAGTTTTGTAGGTCATGGAATCATGCCTTCATTTCTCTGAAATCACTGCAATCTGTACTCCTGACATCAAGAGTAAATATCAGACTGCCTCCAGCACTCCCTCTTGTAGTTATCACAAATCCTAAAAAAAAAAAAAAATAGTCCTTTTTTCCCCAAGGCTCTCATCAATTCCATTTTACCAACCTTGTTGGTCAGAATTAAGTCTACTGTAGCAGTTTCTCTCATTACTTCCTCTGCCTTCTGAGATATGGAATTGTCAGCAAAGCACAATCAAGACTTTATCTGATTTTTAGCAGAGTAAGACATAGCAGATGTTCATCACTACTATACTTTGGCTCCATGCCCATTTTATGAATTGCTATGGGAACTCATCATCTCTTTCTTCTATCTGATAAGGTAATATATAGTGTATTACAAACATTTCATCAGACACTATCCCCCTATGCTTCCATAGTAGCATTTGATGCATGGAAATATAGCCTTCTTTCCCTTCTATCTATCTCCTCCCTAGCCCTGACCCAACTAATTTATTTTACCATAACCTCTGTCTACATACTAAAAATTAAAAGTAGCTCCTCCCCACAAAAATCTTGGGGATCCCTGGATGATAGGAATAATTATTAATTGATTTTTTAAATGGACTTAAAACTTCAGGATTAATTTCATTTTGATTATTAAGGGCAAATTGTAGTTCACACATAATTATGTATCAAATAGAAGAGGGGCTTATGGAATCAAGCCCAGACTTTAAATTCCATTAGAATAATAATCTACAGTGCATTTTAAAATAGTAATCTACCATGACCAAATAAGAGATATAGAACATTATAAAATGCAAAATGGATAATTTTGATTACATTGAATTAAAAAAGGTTTTGCACAAATAAAACCAATGTAACCAAGATTAGAAGGAAAGCAAAAAGCTGGGAAATAATTTTTATAGCCAGTGTTTCTGATAAAGGCCTAATTTCTAAAATATATAGAGAGCTGAGTCAAATTTATAAGAAAACATGTCATTCTGCCATTGATAAATAATCAAAGGATATGAACAGGCAATTTTCAGAGCAAGAAATTAAAGCTGCCTATAATAATATGAAAAAATGTTATAAATCACTATTGATTAGAGAAATGCAAATTAAACATTAAAATGCAACTCTGAGGTACCATCTCACACCTATCAGATTGGCTAATATGAGAGAAAAGGAAAATGATAAATGTTGGAGAAGATGTGGGAAAATTTAAACACTACTGCACTGTTGGTGGAGTTGCAAACTGATCCAACAATTCTGGAGAATTTAGAACTATGCCCAAAGGGCAACCAAACTGTGCATACCCTTTGATCCAGCAATAACACTGCTAGGTATGTACCCCAAAGAGATCATAAAAAGGGAAAAGGACCCACACATACAAAAATATTTATAGCAGTTCTTTTTGTGGTGGCAAAGAATTGGAAATTGAGGGGGTGTCCCTCAATTGGCAAATAGCTGAACAAGTTGTGGTATATGAATGTAATAGAATACAATTGTGCTATAAGAAATGATGAGCAAGCAGACTTCAGAAAAACCTGGAAAGACTTGTATGGACTGATGCTGAGTGAGGTGAGCAGAACCAGGAGAACATTGTACACAGTAACAGCCATGTTATGTTGTATGATGACTAACTTGGATAGACTTAGCTCTTCTCAGCAATGTAATGATCCCAGACAATTCCAAAAGACTCATGATGGAAAATGCTAACCACATCCAGAGAAAGAACTATGAAGTCTGAATGCAGATTGAAACATACTATTTTCACTTTGTTTTTGTTTTTTCTTTCTTGTGGTTTTCCCCTTTTGTTCTGATTCTTCTTTCACAACATAACTAATGTGGAAATATGTTTAACATGATTGTACATGTATAACCTATATCAGATTGCTTGCTGTCTTGGGGAAGGGGAATAGGAGAGAGGGAGAAAAATTTAGAACTCAAAATTTTATAAAAATGAATATTGAAAACTATTTTTACATGTAGTTGGAAAAAAATACTATTAAGGAAAAAATAATAATCTATAAGGCAGCATGAAGGAGTAGATAAAGTACTGTACTTTGTGTCAGGACACCTAGGTTCAAATCTCAACTCAGACACATATTAGCTGTGTGATCATTGAAAGTCACTTTATCTCCCAGAGAATCAGTAAAATGGGGATAATAAGACTTGTATTACTTTTCAAAACTTCAAGTTCTATATAAATGTGAATTATTATCATAAATTTACTGAGAAAATTGCTAGTGAACCTGACTTTTTCCCCATAGGTTAGAGAATCTGTGATAAACCGTTTCCTAATTGCAAAACACCATTTTCTTCTTTCGGACCTGGTTATAGAAGAGGATGTTCCCAATATTAGGTAGGTAAGGAGGGAGGGGGAGTGGGGAATGTTCTTTTAGAACTTTGAGTTTTGTTTACCTTGCCACCTTTAGGGCCTTTTGTAAAGGAAAGATGGTCTGTGAATGTAGGATTTCCTCATCATTGAAGTCTCATTGTGGCCCAGGATAGAGTTGGTAACACAGATAGTAAAGTGCCTGCTATGGACACACGCTTCGAGAAGGAACCATAAGCACTGACAACCCAAAGCCTGCAGCAAATCCGCTACAACCTCCTTTCCCATGCCCACTTAGCTAGAGCCTTTCTCATCCCTTATTTCATTTCAACAACAAATATTTATCAAGTGCCCACTCTCATGCAAGGCATTGTTACCAGATACTGGGAGAAATGCAAAGACAAATAATATAAACTCCCTGCCCTCAAGGAACTTTCAATCTGTTAGGGGCGATGACACGTAGAGAAATAACTATACTCCAAACAGAAACAAAATACTCTAAGAGATCTGAGAAGGCAGAACTTCTTTGGGTTTGAGGGGATGTAGGACTGGGCAGGAAGGGTAAATCAGGGTTAACCTGATGGCATTTAAGATGGTCCTTGAAGGATGGTTGTGATTTCATCAGGTGGAGATGAAAGAGGTAGGCATTCCAGGAATATGAAACACCATGAACATATATACAAAGATGGCTTTACCAATTCCTGCCACCTTCTCTCTTCCCACAGAGATGTTACCCCACCCAGATTCTGTATAGTCTGTTTCTTCCATTTCATTCTAACTTCCTTCCTCTTCCTACCCCCATCCAATTTTTACCATACCTCACTATCACAGAAGCATAGAGGTTTGGCTGACCAAGAAGAATAATCGGTGGGAATGGTGATGGGATGGATCCAGCTATACCAATGGGAAAAATGCTATGACCACAACTGGTGGGAAGATACCTGGAATATTCATATAAGTTAGTAGACTGTATTTCTCTTGTTGACTTCATTTCCATAAATAACTTCTAAATTTTCCCAAGAAGCCTGATTCCTCACTCCTCTCTCTCACATAATCTATATTCCAACCAAACCAGATTCCCAGGTATTCCTCAGTCTCATCATACACTCTCCTGCCTTCATGGATTCACACAGGTTTTTCTGCCGTGGCTGAAACAGACTTATTCCTCATCTCCACCTATTGAAGTCCTTCTCTTCCTTCAAGACCCAAGCTGGTCGGCCATGACCTTCTCTGTGAAGTTTTCTCAGATTTCCCAACTGCAAGTGACCTCTCCCTCCCCAGATTTTCAGAAAACACTTTATCCTGGTGTCTGTGTCACTCTTATCCCATTCTATTTTGTCACCCTTACTTAAGTATGTATCTTATTCTCCTTATTAGATTATAAATTCCTTGTGGCCTGCCAATGCCTTGTATAATACCGTACATTAAGAAGAAGCTTAATAAATGTGTTACAGTAGGTTATCTCAGGCTTTAAAGTTCAAAGGGTTATTACTGATGATCCAGTTCAACCTCCTCATTTTATAGAAGAAACTGAAACTCAGAAATGTTAAAATAGTAATAAGTAACAAAGTAATAAGTAATTATTACACAAGTAATAAGTAACAAAGCCAAAGTTCAAACCCAGATCTTTTGACGTCCAAGTCCAGATTTCTTTCCATTATACCTTTGTGTGTTGAGCTACATAACTAATTCCCTCAAATATGTTGTGTTGAATAATAGAAAACTGAATGATGTCAAAAACTATGTGTTGGGGACCAGAGAGGAGGCAGAGAGGAGGCAAGCATGAAAATATTCCAAAGCATTCCTTTGGACAACAGAATAGCTGAATTTATGGTTTTGTGTTATAAATGCATTGTCAGTGAACAACTCTCCTTTTGCCATAGCCTTTTCCTAGCTCTCCACAAAATCACCCGGCTACATGGCTCCCCCAAAAAGAACATTTCTGTTAGAGATTTTCTTTCTTTGGAAACATGATCAAGGTGGGAGAATGCAAAAGAAATGAGAGAAGACTACTACAGAGTCCATTATAGCCCACACACTCATTCTCTACTAGACCTCTGATCCTCAGACACTTCTCCTTAGGTATCCAGGACGCTGGAACCCAAGAGTTCAGTAGCCACCCATATAGTCCCCTTGATCAGGTACAGGGTTGGGTATGTCAGAAGTAACATTCACCAAAGCCCTCTCTTGCCTACACTTTGGGAAAATACAGGTTTTTGGTTTGTTTACAGTCTTGCAAGTTACTTGTAGAATAGATCATATTTTTCATTTTATGTTGTTTCTCTTTATGCATGCCATTCTGCTTTATTTGGGGCATTAAGTTCTGATGGCTCAGGGTATGTGCTTTCCTATTTTGTTTTTGCATTTAGCTATTAATCTGCTTCTATATCTGTTACTCCCAGTCAACATGCCATAACTCCCTGTGTAGAGTACCTCATAGATGAGTCACTTTCCAGGATCAGAGCACTAACCTAGGGAAGTGCTCAAGCAGATCACGCCCCTGCCCCCTGCCCCACAATAACTTACAGAAGAACTCCAAGTTTATGCCTACTTCCTGGGAACAACCTGCCTACCCCTGGTGATAGCAGAGCATGAATCTATAAATAGCCAGAGCTGGTAGCTACTTAACTTTCTTAAAAGAGCTCATCTTTTGGTGGGGTCTATGAGAGGTACCTTCAAAGGAATCTACTTTGTTATCAGCTGATGTGGGCTAACGGGGGAGTATGAAGTCCAGCCAGGGACTGAAAAAAAAAATGTTCCCAAGTAGGACCAGCTCACACAGTCAAGCCCCAGTTATTATCTGAATCAATGGAAAGATTACCCACGCAGATTTTTTTTTCTAAAATCCTGATTTTTTTTAAAGTATTAAAGAAAAGGGTTATCTTCGAAAAAGTTTCCATGCTCTGTGATTCATGAGTTTTCTACTCTGTTAAGTTTGTCTTCTTTCCCGTAAGTCAGGAATTCTTAACCTGGAGTCCATGACCTTATTTTTTTTATAAACTATTTTAATAACTATTTTAACATAATTGTTTTCCTTTGCAATCTATGTATTTTATTTTATGTATTTAAAAATATCATTCTGAGGAGGGGTACACAGGCTTCAATAGATTGCCAAAGGTGTCCTGACTTAAATAGAATCACCTTCCCTTAAGTGATTTTTTTAAAAACTCATTGTCTTCCTCAAATGAACTAGGTAGACAGGAGAGAGCCTCCATGTTGAGAACAGAAAGATCTGGAGGAACTGAATGACTCTGAAGCCAGATAGAGACTAGTGAGGATTACTACCCCCTCACAACTCTGAGTAAGAACCTATGATCAAATAAAGAAAATATCAGTTAGACCTGGGCCTGGGGCTCAAATGGGAATGTAGCTCTTATCCTTTTGGGGCCTTCACATGAACATTGGGCAGCATTGTGATCCTTCACAAAGAGGCCATCTTGGCTCCTTCCTGGGATTCTAGCCATTGCCCATGTGAGATTAAAGCCCTGCAGGGCTCACTTTGTCCCTTGACATTTTAGCTCACTCTTCACAGTTCCACCTGTAGAATGAAATATAGTTAGAAGTGTATATTTTTAAACTTCTAGACTAGAATTTAATTCTTTGGTTCATATTATTCTTCCCCTTTTTTGACACGTTTTCATTCATTCATTCATTATTTATTGAATGTCTATTATGTTCAATACATTGTGAGAAGCCCTATGAGGGATACAAAAATGCATAAATGCTGCTCTTCAATAGGCTACAACCTATTAGAGTAGATAACATGAGTACAAAGATAAACCAAATACAAAGTAAAATGTAGTTAAGCGCCATATAAGTGATATGGACTATTGTTTCTCAAATTGAGCTCTATAGAAACTTGGTATTCTGCACAAAGTGGAGAGAGATTCCCTAAGGAAATTTTGTTGCTAGAGCTATTCTCTTTAGAAAAATATTAAACATTAAATTGCATACATATCAAAAATGCTTATTCCCTGCATCATTTCTTCAAGTTTGAAAATAGGCTTAATTTCCTCTATTTTGCTCTTGAATTGCCTATCCCCTAATATTTTTGTCGAAGGCATTCCTTATCTTCAGATCCCCTAGTCATGGATTTCTGTGTTATGTAACTGTTTCAAGCCCAAAAATACCCAAATAAATTTTGGAAATGCTCACATAGACAACAAGTGCTTCAGGAGTCCCGAGGAGACAAAGATTGTTTCTAATGGAGGGGATTGTGGAAGACTTCATTGAAGGGATGTCATTGGATTTGGGTGCTAGAGGAAGAGTAGGATGTGGATATGTGGAGGAGTATGGGGAACATTCCTTGCTAGAGGAAGTAAAATAAGCACAATCTGAGGGAAAGGTATTTTTGTTAAACAGTTAACGGACTGATCTGGTTGGAATCAAGAGTTCATGTAGTGGAATAGTATAGGATGGGGCTAGAAAGACCAGAATTTAAATATTCTTCCTTAGGCAGTTAGCAGTTAAAATAAATTTAGTAACAGTCTCTACTTAAGTGTCTCTCCCATCACAGTAGATTATCAATCTCCTAAAGTGCACAAGGGGTCTTTGAGAGGCCCTTAAGGTGCTTTGAGGCAATTTATGGGTAAAGGTCTCATGGTCTTTCAGACTTTTACTTTCTACAATGTATTTTAAGTAACTCTGATCAACCCAATGATCCGCCCCAACTCCATAGGACTCATGATATAAAATTCTATCCACCTCCAAATAAAGAACTGATGGACTCAGAGTACAGATTGAAGCATATTTTATTCCTTAATTTTTCTAGCTTTTTTTTTCAGAATATGGCTAATGTGGAAATGTGTTTTGCATGAGAGTAAGAGAGAGAGAGAGACACTGTGTGTGTAAAATAGGTGTCATATTTCTTGCCTTCTCAATGGGGGGGGAGGGAGAGAATGTGGAACTGAAAAGTAAAATAAAATTAAAATAAATTGATAAAATGTCCTTAACATCCCATTCTGTGGTCATTAGCATTCTGGGTGTAAGCCTCTTCAAGTTGGCAGAACAAAAGCGACCACTGAAGCCCAGGAGAAAAGGAAGGAAAAAAGTTCCAGCACAAAATCTGTCAGATGGAGACATCAAAGTCTTGGTGAACGTCCTTAGAGCTTATGATATTCCAGTACGAAAACCCACAGTCAGGTAAGAAAGAGATGCCACCTGGTCTAAGGTGGGACTGTCATTTAAGAGGTAGATGAGAATTGAAAGTTCATTTGGTCCAATCTGGATATGAAAAGAGCATCCCCTTCTATGGTATCTGAACAGGGGAGCATCCAGCCTCCACCTAAGCACCTGTGATGAGTGGAAGTCTGTTAAATAGCCCTAATGGTTATTCTTTGTACCAGAGAAGTTTTTTCCTTAGGTTAAACTAAATTCTGCTTCTTTGTAATGTCCACCCATTTCTCCTATTTCTGCCTTCCAAGATCAAACAGAACCTGTCTGATCCCTCCTGTACATTAAAAATAGCTAACACTAGCTATTAGTGTTCTTTACCTTTCCTTTAATGGACAGTTTTTATTAAATGCTTATTGCATTTGTTTAAAATATTTATTTATTCTATTGGGTATTTATGCTATTCTATGTACTTATTCCCCTGATGTGCTGAAGCAAAAGTTCTGCAAACACTGATTACTCATCACTCACATGACTTCTATAGTGTTTTAAGGTTCATAAACCACTCCTAAAGGCTTAAAGGCCAGGTGTGGCTTCAAGGCCACAGGCTGCCCACCCCTGGTTTATACAGACCTGGGAAAGAGGCAATGTAAGTATTATTATCCCCATTTTATGGATATAGAAACTGAGGCTCAAAGTAGGTAAGAGACTTGCCCAGGGCTTCATAACTAGTAACTAAATGAGCTCTCCTGACTGCAGGTCCAGGGCCCTTTTTACTATTGCATATGGTCATATTAAAGAGACCTCCCCACTTTCTGTCTGATGCTGTGCTCCATTTATTTTGTGGAAAGAGAATTGCGATTCACGGGGTTCCCTCATCTGGTTGCAAGGAAGGGCCTAATATTAAGAAATAGCTTGTTCCCGCAGTAGATGGAGCTCCAGCCTTGGAGTCAGGAGGACCTGAGTTCAAATGAGACCTTTGACACTTACTAGCTGTGTGAGCCTGGGCAAGTCACTTAACCCCAATTGCCTCACCAAAAAAAAAGAAAAAAAAAGAAATAACTTGTTCCCTTTTGGGGAACAGGGCCAAGAAGCTCAGGGACCCCATGGTGCTCCAGTCTTCCTTGCTGCAGTGGTCACTAGCAATTCTGGCCCTTTCTATCTTTGCTTTTCTTAATTCTCTGTCCACCCCCTCCCTTTTATTTTCTCTTATTTCTCATGCTTGGCCTGCTCTTATAGAAAGAGGCAGGCAGCAAGACGTGGTACTAGGAATCAGAAGAGCTGAGTTTGTATTCTGGCTCTTACCAGTGACTGGCTATGTGGCTTTGGTCAAGTCACAATTTCTCTGCACTTCTGTTTACTCATCTGGAAAAAAAAAAAAGGTTGGGGGAGCTAATTAGACTTGTGCTTTCTACCTCACCCCACTGTTGTAGGCCCAAATCAAATCCAGCGTAGACCACATCTAGGCAAGCTATTCTTAGCGAATGCAAATGGTCCCTTGTTGATGTCTTTCCTGGTGTTTGGTTGTTACAAAGCCAAATGCTCCTAGGAATCATCAATCTGTTGCTTGTACATATTCACAGCACACCAAGAATTAATACCATTGTATGACTTAATTAAATCATTAACATGATATAATTCACCCGAAAAAGATCATAACTTAACAGTGAAATGAAAAGGTGTATTTCTCAGAAAACATGTACATGTTAATTCTATTTATTAAAGCCTCTGGACAGACTGGTTTTTTTAGAAATCAATCCACTCTGCCTCAAATAAATAAATATAGGCATACCTATGAGATATTGTGACTTCAGTTCCAGACCATTGCAATAAAGCAAATATCACAATAGAGTCACATGAATTTTTTTGGTTTCCCAGTGAATATAAAAATTGTTTACACTATACTGTAGCTATTAAGTATACAACAATAGTACTATGTCTAAAAAAAATGGACATACCTTGATTAAAAAATACTTTATTGCGTGCACCTAGGTGGCATATAGGATAAAGCACCACCCCTGGAGTCAGGAGGATCTAAGTTCAAATTCGACCTCAGACACTTGACACTTACTAGCTGTGTGACCCTGGGCAAGTCACTTAACACTGATCGTCTTGCAAAACAAAATAAAATACTTTATTGCTAAAAACCACTACCCATCATCTAAGTCTTTAGCAAGTCATAATCTTTTTTCTAGTGGAGGGTCTGACCTCAATGTTGATGGCTGCTGACTGATCTGGGTGGTGGTTCCTGAAGGTTGGGGTGACAGTAGCAATTTCTTAAAATAAGACAGTAATGAAATTTGCCATATGATTGACTCCTCCCTTCACCTGAATACTTAGAGGTCATTACAATGGTATTAACAGGCCTAATTTCAATATTGTTGTATCTCAGGGAATAGGGAGGCCTAAGGAGAGGGGGAGAAATGGGGAAATGGCTGGTAGGTGGAGCAATTTAATTAAGTTCTCCATCTTATATGGGCATCCACATATACGTGAGGTCCCAAAACAATTACAATAGTAACATCAAAGATCATTAATCACTGATCACCATAAGGATATAGTGACAATGAAAAAAATTTGAAATATCATGTGAATTATCAAAATGTGACAAAGACACACAACATGAGCACATGCTGTTGGGAAAAAATGGTGCCAATAGACTTGCTTCATGCAGGGCTGCCACAAACCTTTGATTTGTAAAAAAACATAGTATCTGCAGAGCTCAATAAAATGAGGCATACCTATAGAAAGAAGCATAAACAAACCTATATTTACACATTTAAGTATGACTACAATACTCTCATGGACCTGTAATCCCATCAAAGCTGGTATTCGACACTTGCCAGGCCAACTCATTCTTCTTTTTTTCTACCTTCCATTGCTTTCTTACATGTTGAGGTGAGTAGAATATACTAAGTGGCAAAGATAAGGTATAGTCAAATGAGATAATTTATGTAAAACATTTGATTCATCTATATTTTCCCACAGTGCCTGACCACAGAGTAAACACAATGATTATGAACGGACTGACACATTCAATAGAGTCCCCTTAGAAATGGTCCGTGGACAAATCAATAGCCTACTATTGTTCTATTGGAGTTAATGTTTAGTGGACTGTTACTCAGGTGCATAAAATGGTTGCTTTTGGTGATTTCATAAAAGTATTGGCATATAAACTCTTTGACAGGTTCAACAAAGTTATCTTTGGAGATGATATTGCAGTTAGGATGATATCCGGGCTTGGTTTCCTTCCACTGGGTCTCTATGCTTGAAGGGCTTTTTATTCCACATAATTTGGAGGTCATGAATATTCAATATGTCATCATCTACTAAAAACATTCTAAAATATTAAAAAATTGGTATTCTGCCCAGCAATTCAGATTTCAGTCTGTCTATCCATGCCTACATACCCTGTGTGTTTCTCTTCCATGTATTACCATTAAAGTTGCCACTGGAAGTCTACCCAGCATGCCTGGGGTTTTATTCATGTTCTTTTTAACACTGCATAGATACCAGTGGGGCACACAGGCTGTTATCCCTTTCTTTTGCTATATGATTCACCGATCTTTTTTTCCACTAGTGCATTTATTTGATGAATTCCTTTACACCACTTCTCTAATACAATTCCTTACTTATAACATGCTTCAGCCTGCTCATGCCCCACCTTTGCCTCTCTCTCCTCCTTTGGGTGATTCTCAACTTCATTACTTCCTTAAATTCTATGAAGATTAATTAATCCTCGGCGTTGTGTCACCTGGAACTTGTATGACTTTTCTCTCCTAGCAAACTCCAGCAGCCGTCCCGATCTTCAAGGCCTTTCAGTGAAACACTTGTGACTTCCCCATCAATGCAAAGTCCAGCCTATACTGTGGACAATGTACTCAGTCAGGTAACAAATCCAAAATCTGAAGTTCATTTTTTCACAGTTTATTCGAATTAAATCTGAGAGGCAGCACATCTTACCTTATATTTTCTTTTGCCCCATGCTTTTGCCTGAGGCAAAACCTTTGGTTTGGTTGCTATCAATTTGTTTTCTTTCTAATTTGCTCTCATTTTTAAGGTTTTAGTTCGACCTTTTGTAGAAGTTTCTTTTCAAAGAACTGTTTGCCACACTACTACAGCTGAAGGTCCAAATCCCAGCTGGAATGAGGAACTTGAACTTCCATTTCGGTAAGGGCAAATCATATATTTTTTTTCTTTCTCCATAGATACTATAAAATGTTTTGAGGGCCTGAGAGATCATTGAACCAACCCCCTCATTTTACAGAAGAGGAAACTGTGATCTAGAAAGATGAAAGATTCTCTAGAGTCAGGCAGATAATTAGTGCCAAAGCAAAAAAAAAAAAGAAAAAAAAAAAACAACAAGGTCTCATGATTACCATCCATCATAGAGCTTCAGGTCGATTGTGAAGAAAAGGAAAATGTCCATGTTATGAAAAGTCTGAGTCAGTGGGTGCATGATTTGTACACTTTTAGGTTGATGAAGTCCAAAACTGAATAATTTTCTTGTCCCTCTAGCCCCATTCCTATGCCTGTAGAGAGTACCACCATCCTCCCAGTCACCAAGGTTAATGACTTTGGCATTCTTCTTGACCCCCCACAATATCTCTCAAATCCATCCCCTTCTCTCTACTCACAGAGCCACTCCACTATTTCAGGCCCTCATTAACTCTCACCTGAGCTGTTGAAATAGCTTCCTGGCTGACCTCCCTGCCTCAAGGTGCCAAAATAATTTTCCTAGAGTGCAGGACTAACTCCATCACTCCCTTAGTCAACAAATTCCAATGACCCCCTTCTACTTTTAGGATCAAATATTTGTTTTTTAAGGCCCTTTGCAACCTGATCCCAACCTATGTTTCCAACCTTATTACACATTATTCCTCTTCTCACACTCTATGTTCCAACCAAACTGTCCCCTTTACTGTTCATCACAGATGATATGCCATCTCCCAGCTTCATGAATTTGTATTGGCTGCCCTCATGCTTGGAATGAATGCACTCCCACCTCCTCTGTCTCACAGGAACACATTTCCTTGAAAATTTGCCCAACTGGCACATTTTGCATGAAGTCTCTCCTGATTTCTACCTTGCTGCTACTGCCTTTTCCCCTCCAAAAAAAAAAAATCACATTATGTAATTTATTATCTGATGAGATAATTATAAAGCATTCACCACAATGCCCGGCACATAGAAATGTTAGCTACTATTATTACCATTACTTATTTTGTATATACATATTCATGTACTTGTTGGCTCTTACGATAAAATGTAAGCTCCTGAAGGGCAGAGATTACTTCATATTTTTGTATCCCCAGTGACTAGCACATACTAGGTACTTAAAGTATAATTCTGTATTAATTTTTTTTGCACCTAGAATATGACATAAAAATTGTCCAAGGAGTCACTGATACGTACTACTGCCAATCATACTTATTAACACACAACCAATTTATCATATGCTCATAGCACAGTCTCACAGTACACAAAAATCAGTGGGCCCCCAATAACATCTGTGACAATCTTTTATAGGTTGAATTACAAAGCAGTATAGATACAATTGGAGTTTTAAGAGGGAAGAATGGGAAGCTAAAGATTTACACATCAAAGAACATAGCAGAAAGGGATGATCTATATCAGGTTAAAACAGGAAACTAGCCAGTAAACACTGGAGCTTATAGCTGGTATCTCAAGGTGGAATTTTCCAAACAGGGCAGAAACGAATCAGATAGCACCAGGGCTATAGTTGATATCTCAAATTAAGTAAATAAAAGTAATAAAGTTGAGCCAGAAATTCTCTTATCACTAACCAGTTAATCATCTGAGCTAAAGTTCGGTGTCTCAATTAAATTCTGCATGCTCTGACTAGTGATGTGACTAGCTGTCTTAAGGAAATGGTAGTCATAAAGCCAATTCAGAAAAATGCTCTTACCACAAATGAAAAAAACTGACTTCATGACATGGTTTCCATGCCTTGTATGACCGTAGATAGATGACAACCTTTCAAAGCCTCAAATTCTCTATCTGTGAAGTGGGCAAAATTATATTTGCACTACCTGTTTTGCATAGTTGTGAGGAAAATGCTCTGTTTATAATTTCTAGAGTAAGGGAAGTTGATCAGAGGAGTGACCTGATAGATTTGATTAGTTTCCCCAAAAAAATTGATGAATTTATAGGGTATATACCTTATCTAGGATCAGGAAACTACTTCCCCATGCTGAAGGCAGTCACATCCACTGGTGCCTTGTTAAAAAGATAGGGACTGACTTTTGATTAGGTTCCAAGAACTTGTGCTACTCTCAAGCCGATTGGCTGGCTGAAACTCATTTTCAGAAATGAACTGATAAACCTGCTCAACCTTTTCACTCTCCCCTCCACCCCGGCCTTTTAACCTCTTCTCTATAATCTTTCTTTCTCAGGGGAGTCTCCTGAGGATCAACACTCCCACCCTCATATACCTTCACACTCATTTACTCATTTTTATAATAATCTGATTGTATTTTGCTTTGATAGAGCTCCTAATAGTGATTATAGCACAGCCAGTATGCAATCAGTGAAGGATGATATATTCATTAACATTTTTGATGAAGCACTCTACGATGTCTTGGAGGTAAGCTCATGGTTTTGAGGAAGAAATCCATACCATTTCTCATATCTTCTAGTGGTTGTAGGTATACTGCTTACCCTGATCCTAACAATGGGTGAATTGGGTGAGTTGAATGAGTTCTGTTGGAGACAGAAGTGGGGTTCATGGTACTTAATCAACCTTTTCTGATTTGAGGATCAGAGAGAAAAGGGTTGTCAAATTTCTGGTCACTTCCCCTCCTACTCGCAAACTTCGGTCAAGGCATTCCTTTGCTGGCAAGGGTCCAAGATCAAGCCAAGCTCCAAAACTAGAGCCATTTTGCTGAAAGGGGCAGGGGCAGGAGGCTGTAAATGACACAAAAACATTCTTAAAACCAAGAACTGCAATAGAATCCGAGAGGATTCTAATGAGTGGCAAGGTTAGGAGTTCAAGCTAAATGTACTTTGATAATGGGCAAGTAACAAGATAGTAAGCTAGAAAAAAAGTGATCTGAATTTGCCACAGAATTGGTCTTTAGGTTTAGAGTGTGTGTGTGTGTGTGTGTGTGTGTGTGTGTGTGTGTGCGCCTGTGTGTGTTTTTAATGCCAAGGCATGTTAGGGATACCCTTTAGTTTTTCCTTATTCCTCTAAACTGGAATATCCCTAACAATATGAGCCTAATTTTCTCCATAAGTCAGTGGCAAAATCAAGCCAGTTTTCCAAGTTCTTGATGGAAAGGGTTCAACCTGGTGTTTACAGAACCATTACTTCTAGACTCTCTGAATAGTGGCATGTTAATGAATTACCTAGGATTTGGCAAAAACACACACAAACCCTATAAATATTTATTCTGAAAGAATAGGCTATCTAGATCATTTTTATTAGTTCTTCAAATAATAACTTGATTCTTCAATATGATATGCCATTCTGATAAAATGAAATGTTTGCATGACTAACAGTTAGGAAGTAAACTCCTTTACTTTTAGTCATTGTTTAAAAAGTCTAAGCTCAGGGCAGCTAGATGGAGCAGTGGATAGAGCTCTGGCCTTGGAGTAAGAAGGACCTGAGTTCAAATCCAGTCTTAGACACATGACACTTACTAGCTGTGTGACCCTGGCCAAGTCACTTAACCCCAATTGCCTCACCAAAAAGCAAAAAAAAAAAAAAAAAGAAAAGAAAAAGAATGGGGGCAGCTAGGTGGTGCAGTGGATACAGCATCAGCCCTGGAGTTGGGAGGACCCAAGTTCAAATCCAGCCTCAGACACATAACACTGGGCAAGTCACTTAACCCAATTGCCTCACCAAAAAAAAAAAAAAAATGTCTAAGCTCATTTATTGCCTTAGTAAATAGAATCTAATACATACAACTGAATCTCTCTTTGATGATAAAAGATCATTCAAGGTTTTCAGGCCATAGAATACTACTAAATTCTGTCAATTCTGTTTATAAAATATCTCCTAAATCCACCCCCTCATCACTATTCCTACTGCCTCCACCCAAGTAGAGGCCTCCATTGCGATCCAACTGAATTGAACTATTGCAATAACCACACATATACAGACTTAGAACTGGAAGGGAGCTTAGAAGTCATCTAGACCAGTGGTGTCAAGCCCAAAGAGAAACAGGGCCCACTAAACTGTACATAAGGATCCCAAGGCCACATATTGACTTAGAAAACTATATATTAACATTATCTATATTCTATGATATTTTTTATTATTTTGTTAAATATTTCCCAATGGGCATTTTTATATGGTTTGGGCTGCATAGGATTGATGAAGGCCAAATGTAGCCTACAGGCAAGTTATTTGACGCATCTGATCAAGTTTATGTTCAATAGTTTTCAGTTGTGTCCTTCTCTTTATGGCCCTATTTGGGGTTTCCTTGGCAAAGATACTGGAGTGGTTTGCCATTTCCTTTTATAGCTCATATTACAGATGAGGAAACTCAGGTCCGGAGAGATTTAAGTACAAAGATGGGATTTGAACTAAGATCTTCTAGTTTCAAATTCAGTTTTCTTTCCACTTTGCCATATTGACTCTCCACAAGTTTTCCTGAATCCATGTTGTCCCTCCTCTAAGTCAACTATGATAGATAACTGCTTCAGAAAAGGGTTTCTTTCCCAGACAGAAATTTTGAGGATCTTAAATGTAAGTTGACTTTTCAAGTTGCCTGTCTCACTAGTACAAAACCTATCTCATCTTATTCCTTTTAACCCCTGAAGAACCTAGCACAACAAAGAAGCCTCTCCAATATTTATCAAATAATCACATTTATGTGGTTTTTAATTTACTGTTACCAATTTTAATACCTTCTCTAGGATGATCGTGAAAGAGGAAGCAGCATTCACACTCGAATTGAGAGACATTGGCTGGGATCTGTTCGAATTCCATTTAGTACTTTATATTTTCAGGGCAGGGTAAGTACACCTCAATATATATACATTTCTTTACAATTAAATACTAGCAGAAGATAAGAAAGTGCATTGGATTAAAAAAACTGGCCCGAATAGTAAAAGTGAATGAATATGCAAGTTCTTTGAAGAAATAAAATTTAACAGAAAATTATGATATTCATTCAACAGAACTCAACAGAAAATTATAATAGTCATTCAATAATATTTACTAAGCGTTTACTGTGAGCAGAATACTGCTAAATTCTGGGGAAGATACAAAGTTGTGATAAGACATTTCACTGCCCCCAAAGACCTTATTGTCTAAAAGAGAGATGAGATAGAGATGCATGCATTAGAGAGGCATAAAAATGAAATGCTTCCTATTAGGGAAGGTCATTACTGGCCTAGGATCAGAGAAGGAGGTAGCATTTGAGTTTTGCTTTAAAGGATGGGTAGGAATTTAATAGGTATGAAGGGGGAAAGTAGAAAAGAACAAAATATATTTGGGAGCATGACAATCAAAAATCAATTGCCATCAATATTCACAATCAAGGAAGTAGGGGAAAAAACTGATAGAGACACACCCAAGAAATACACACTTCAGCAGAGTTGGAGGATTTACTTAAGAGGATTTGCTGAGTTAAATCTTTAGTTGCTTTAGTATTTCTCTCCTGAAATAGCTTTTATCCATTTAGTGTCCTTGATAGCCTGAGACTACATCCATGGCAACAGTAGGCCTGAGTTTTAGGGTTGTAGCTAATCTTTACCAGCCAACAAAGGAGCTGCCTGTTTAACCCAATAAAGGGACTTGCCTAGAAGCAACATTACCAAAGGCGACTAGACACAGAACAACTTTGTGGTGCTGGTCTATTGTGTTATAGAGGAAACTTATGCCTCAGGTAGGGGGTTAGGCTAAAAATGACCTTTAAAATTCCTTCCAACTCTGATTCTATGAAAAACTAGCTGTGTGATTTGGAACAATTCATTCCCCCCCATCCCCACCATGGGCCATAGATTTCTTATCTGTAAAATCAAGAGGACTGAACTAAATCATCTCTGAGGTCTAAAATTCTGTGATTCCATGGTTTAGAACTCAAATTTCAAATCCGATTACATGCAGTGAACATTTATCCATCTCAGTCAACACAATCATTCTCATTAGGCAGAACTGACAATGGGTAACTGTTAATGCAATGAAGTACTTATCTAGGTAAGCACTAAACTCCCCAAGAGTAATTTCTTCACTTGGGTTCTTTATGCATGGATTTCTAAATTATACAAATGATTTCTAAAATTATTTATTGATAGGTACTACTGCCAAGTAATAATAATTATCAACAAATGGAGACATTAAATAACCAGTTTATTATATTCTCAGAGCACAGTCCCATGGTACACAAAAACCAATGGGCCATGAACAGCATTTCCAAAAATCTTACACGGTCTTTACTTATATCAGCATGAAAGATATAGTTGGAATTTTCCTGAAGTTAAAGGGGAAGGTAAAGAATTACACCTCAAAGAATCAACAGTAGGAGAGGAAGATCTACATCAGGTAAAATAATAACTGAATCAGCAAATACTAAGCTGGCACTTGCAGAAAGAGCAGAAACTAACCAGATAGCACCAGGTCTAAAGTTAGATATCTTAGGCAAAATGGCAGCTGTACTAAAACTCTCTTATGACACTTCTCTTTTGCAAATTAAAAATCCCATACCACTTAACATGTTTTTGCTCCAGGTTTTGGAGCAAAATACCTTTATAACCTAGGAAAAATATATATTCAAACAGAAAAGAGCTCAATTTAACCTAAAGGGCAATTGTCACATTCTAAAAGTTCATTTTATCTCATTAGCCTTTCAGATATGGAAGTCCATCAATAAGGATAAATCTTTAAATTGGGTACATTTCACTTCTGTGAATTTCAGCTCCCAGAACAAACACACTTGCTTGTTGGTACTATCTGAATATTGTTCATAGAAGCTACTACCATAGAAGATCCTAGCCAAATCCATAGACTCATCATTCTAGAGTTAGAAAGGGCCTATGATGCTATTGAGTCTAATTCTCTCACTTTATAGATTAGAAAATTCAGGGCCAGGGAGACTTCAGTGACTTATACAAGTTCACTTAGGCAGAAATATCAGTGGGGGAATCAGAATCCAGATCCACTGACTTCCAGAGCTGGAAAGAAAGTAGGTATCATTTAGGGCAGTTTACAGATGAGGAAAACAAGACAGAGAAGGAGAAATGGCTTGCCCATTGTCACGCTGCTGAAATACTATATTGAACATTCTTTGTGCCTTGAGGAAACAGATTTTATAAGCTATCTTGTGTTTGGTGATTGTTACTTTTGCACTGTCCATGAGGAGATTTATTGAATTTTATTTTTTCTCACAGATTGATGGTACCTTTAAAATAGATATTCCCCCAGTTCTCCTGGGCTACAGTAAAGAGAGAAACATAATTAATGAAAGGGGCTTTGATTCTGTCAGAAGTCTGAGTGAAGGCACCTACATCACATTCTTTATGACTATTGAACCTCACCTTGTGCCTGGGGAGTCAGTTCGAGAAAAGGTAAATGGTTTCCAACTTTGTAAACCAATCAGTGATTTTGGTCAATCATTTAAAAATTCTATCCCCTGTGCATACAAACAGATTGTGTTATTTTATGCATATAAGGCTCTCTAACAAAAATGTTTATTTAGGCATATTTTTTTCTGGCTTGGACCCAATGACTTAATACTTTTAGTGTTGAACTGAATTACAAAAATAGATCAAAAAGGAAATGGGTTGTGAAATATGCTTCTTTCTCTAGACCCATATATTAGATTATATCAGTAACCTATCATAAGACCAGATGTCCTTCAAAGGTCACCCCCAGTGCCTTCAGACAGGAACACCCAAACAAAAGTGTGGGTTTAGGTTTTCTTATCTTTTCTTTTTTTACTTGTTTATTTATTTTCAGAAACTTCCAAAAAAGGTGTTTTCATAGACTTCATTGGTAGCTATTTCTGAATTTAACAATCTCCACTGTGAGGAATCTCTTCACTATTGTTTCAGTTTAAGATTGTTTCTTTTTGTCTTGCCTTCAATGAAGATGGAAAACCATTCATCATTGCCTTTCTATGAACATACCCCAGCTCAAATACATTCTTAGATCTACTTTTTATACTTTATTAGAGATTCAGATTCACATGGAAGTACAATCTTATAATTCACTTCTTTCTTAGTCTGAATTCATAAAAAACATAAAAGAAATTTTAAATTTATCCTTATTTACCAAATTTTAAGATAATTTATATAGTAGATATGATTTTCATTGAAGAAAAGTATTGTTCACTAGGAAGCACTTTGTGTCATATCTATTTCAAAATATTCTTAAAAGAGAAAACATATGTATATATTTTTATATGTTTTTCTACATCTATAAACTAGAAATAATAATATCCAAGACAAGGAAGCAAGCTTAACTCCACAAACATTTGCTCTAAGGAAAAGGATATTTTTCCTATATTTATTTAAATAATTCAAGGACTTTTGATTTCATCAGTATGGGATCTTCCTCCACTGACATAGATCACAACCTCCCCAAGATTCAGGAGACAGTACTTTCAATCAGTCAACAATCATTTATTAATTTCCCACTATATGTCAGACACTGTGCTAAGCACTGAAGATACAAAGAAAGGCAAAATACACAGACCCTATCCTCAAGGAATTCACATTTTAATGGTAGAGATAACATGTAAACAATTATGTACATAAAAGATATATACAAGGTAAATTAGAAGTGATCTCAGAGTGAAGGCACTAGCTGGAGGGGTGAAGTAGAAAGAGAAGGACTGAGAAAAGCCTCTTGCATATAACGGTGTTTGATCTGAGTCGTGAAGGAAAGGAAAGCCAATGAAAAGGCACAAGGTAGAGAAATGGGGCACTGTGTTCAAGGAAGAATAAGGAGGCCAGTGTGGCTGTATCATAGAGTATGTGAAGGAAAGTAAGGTGTAAGAAGATTGGAAAAATAGAAAGGGACCAGGTTGTAAAGGTCTTTTTAAATGGCTGAGGATTTTATAGTTGATCCTTTAAGTAATAAGCCACAGGAATTTATTTAGTAGGAGATGAAATGGCCAAAAGAATTCATCACCTGTTGGCCAGTTTTCTCATGATGAGCCTCTGCAACTTACTAGACATTTGGTCTATTGCAGGGTCTGTACTCAAAGCCTTTCCAGATTAGTAGGACCTGCCTGGGCTGGTATTTCACTGACCATTAAGAATCCTGGGTCACTCCTATGCCACAATGAAACATCTGAGCAGGACTTTCTGAAGGATTTTCCTCATGCACACTTTAGCTCAGTGGTGTCAAACTCAAATAGAAATAGAACCCTGAAGTAACTAGTGACATAGAAAACCACAAATTAGCATTATCTATATCATATTCTTTTATTTTGTTATAGATTTCCCAATTATATTTAAATCTGGTTCAGCCAGTTGAAGAGTTTGACAACTCTACTTTAGAATGAAAGACAGATTGATAGATAGAGACAGAGCAAGAGAAAAAGAGGAATGATGGAATGATGTAGATAGATGGTATAGATATGTAGGCAGACATGCAGGCAGACTGACATATAGATTCACAGATAGAGAATTTATTAACTGTTTATTATATGCCAAAAACAGTGAAGCACTGGGGATATAAGTATAAGCAAACAAAGCTTAGAAGGGAAGGATGGAGAGAGTGCAGGAGAATACCCAGATTGGGACAAGGCTGCAGGTCAGGAGATAGAAAAGTCTAGTAAGGCTTAGAGCTGGAAGTAAAGTGGTGTTTGGGGTTTTTTTTTAAGTGTGTTGTCTTCACATGGGTTTGCCAAGGCATGTGAATATGGCTGAAAGAATTAATACATTTTAAGATTCCTTCCATCCTGGCACATACTTTACAGACATTGACATCATTTTTCATGATTTTGAATTGTGCTCCAGTGTCCTGTAAGCCTCTCCTTTTTTTTTTTCAAACACAATTTTGTACATTCTTTCCTCCCTTTGTAAAAATGTTGTTTTTTCCAATCTGCTCCCTTTTTTGGTGCCTCACTGCCCCAGTGTGGTCACAGAAAGCATGATCCTTGTGCATATGGACTTAGCTATATACCAAAACCTCACCAAGATGCTCTTATGCCTTCTGATGAGAGCCACACCCAGTATGGCTATCATTCTACTAGAAGATGTGGAGAGAGCAGGCATTGTTTGTTTTTAAATGATCTATTCAGGAAAGAGGAGCTCTGGCCATAAAACAGCCACTGAAAAGGGGTATGATGTAGGATTTGGATGCATTTTTCCATTTTGAGAACTTACAGGAATGATGAATGGAGTATCAATCTTCATATTCACGTTAGGAACCAAGTAGATTTTTCTGTGCCATTTTTCAAGTATTTCTTAATGGAAAATTCTTAAACAAAAATAAGTGTAGAAGTGTAGAAGCTGAATGCCTTTCTCTATTTTAGCAGCTCTTTCATTGTATTGTTTTGGTAAAAGAAACTGAATATTTCCATTTTTAAACTTTACATTTCTGTTATTACACTGTTTTGCCTGTTATTTTTTTTCTCTTCCTTGCATCTGATAGATGACTGACATGCTAAAGAAGGTAATAAATATTTTATTTTGTAATAAACCAGGTAATATTTATTTACTAGTCTTGAAGTGGCAGCTTTCTCTTCTCCTATACTTTTGAAAGCTTTAAGTCCTGGTGTGTATGCCTAGCCTCTTCCAGATACACTTCACATAACTGTAAAGTTTCAGAAACTGGGAAAGGATCTCAGAGACAACTGACCCCCTACCTGAAAGAGAATCTCCTACATACACAAGGGTTTATCCAGGTTTTCCTTGAAGATCTCCAATGAATGGGAAGCCACCACCTCTCAAGGCAGACCATTCCATTGTGGGATAGCTCTGATAGGTTTTTTGGGTTTTTTTTTTCTGATATCAAACCTAAATTTGTCTCCTTTTCAACTTTCACCTATTGCTGCTGGATTTTTCCTCTCATACCCAAAGGAAAAATTTAAATTAAATTGTCAAATTGTTCTCTACTTGACATTCCTTTCAAGACAACTATTGTTTTCCCCTGAAGCTTCCTTTCTTCAGGCTAATGGACTCTGGTATGATATGGGCTCAAAGTCATTCACCAACCTATCTTCCATAATTTAATGTCCTTAAATGATAGTGTCCAGAACTGAGGGCGATATTTCAGATCTATATATCCAGATTCCTAGATAGGACAAAGTAAAATAGAATTATCTTCCCCCTAATCCTAAATACTAGCCTCTTTCCATGCAGCCTAAGGTCACATTAGCTTTCTCTCTCCCACATCATTCCATTGACTCATAGTTAGAATATAATGTAAGCTTCCAAATCTATTTGGATGACCTATCTAGCCATGCTGTCCCCATCATGTATTTGTGAAGTTGAGTTTTGAACTGTACTGCAAATCTTTACATTTATCCCTTTATGGTTTATCTTATTTGAATTGATGAATGTTATAGCCTATCTTTATGGCTCCTGACTCTCTCATACAGCTGTTAACAGGCCTTCCTACCTTCGTGTCACCTGCACATTTGATAAGCTTGCTACCACGCAAGTAATTGAGGAAAATGGTAAAGAGAACAGAGCCAATCACAAATACCAGTCGCACTCCACCAGAGAGTGGACCTCCTTCCAAATTGTTATCAAATTGTCATCAAATCAATTTTGAGGTCTAGCTACTCAACTAGTTCTGAATCTATCTAACTATGTTGTCATCTAGTTTACATATGCCTATCTAGTCTACAATAGAGGTGTCAAATTCATAGCCTGTAGGTCACAAGCAGCCACAAAATCCCCAAGCCTGAACCAGACCAAATTGCAATTGGGAAATGTTTAACAAAATAAATAAAAATACAATACAACAGATAATGTTAATTTGTAGATCTCTAAGTCAATATGCAGCCAACAGTGATTCTTTCATATTTGAATTTGACACCACCAATCGATATGATTATTGAGAGATTTTATCAAATGTTATGCTAAAATCTAGGTAAACTCCACCATATTTCTCTGAGCTACCACTGTCAAAAGAAGAAATTAAATTAGTCTAGAATTCCTGATCTTAATGAAGCCATTCTGGCTCTTTATTATTCTCACTTCCATTTCTAAATGTTCACTAACCAACTATAACATGATCCTAATAAAAGGTTCTAGAATTTTGCCAATAACATAACTCAAGCTTACTATAAAATTAGAATAAAATTTGCTTTCTGTGTGAAAGCAACAGTCTTTCAGAGATCACTGACAGTGACATAACAATCAAATGCACCAATTACTTTGTATACCCTGGGATGTAATTCATTTGTGCCTGACAATTTGAACAGGTAACTAGGTGACACATTGGATACAGTGCTGGTCCAGGAGTGAGGAAGACTCAGCTCACTGAGTTCAAATCCAGCCTCAGACAGTTACTAGTGGTGTGACCCTGGGCAAGTCACTTAACCCTGTTTGCCTCAGTGTCCTCATCTATAAAATGAGCTGGGAAAGGAAATGGCAAACCACTCCAGCATCTGCCAAGAAAACCCCAAATGGGGTAACAAAGAGTGAGACACAACTGAAAAGCAACTGAACAACATGAATGTTATTGATCTTGAATGAACAAGAAATGGAAGATTTGGGGAGCAGAGGTAATGATGTCATCTGGTGATTGATGACAAAGACTTTAGCAGAGAAAGGCTGATTTGGAAAGTGAACCACAAGTTCAAAAGATGGTGGCAAAGCATAAAATTTGTTGTTATCATTTCAACAAGTCGCAAGTTTAATACCAACCCTTCAGCAGGGAGTGGGCAGCTAGGACCTGTTTCTTCTTCCTCTAACCCTCCGTAGATGTTATCTTACCTTAGGGATCCATATCATCACACATGGAACAAGCAACTCCTACCTCTCAGAAGGCTCTATTTCCTCCTGTTCAGTACGAACTTTATATCTAGTACTTAGCTTCAAGTGTCCAGTGCCCCTTCTTCTTCCCTTTCCCTTCTATGTCACATTTTTCTTCTCTGTGACCTCTAGAAACAGGTCAGAATTTCCCTCTGTCTCTCTTCAAATCTTTTTTCTTAGGAACACTTCATTTTACCTGATAACCTGAACAATAGGGAAGTGTTATTCAAGCCCCTGTATTTTTCTCCTAGGAGCATCAACCAGCCTATATTCTAAAGCACAGATAACAACTACTTTGGTTAGTCATTTCAGTCATGTCTGATTCTTCGTGACCCCATTTGGGGTTTTCTTGGCAAAGATACTGGAGTGGTTTACCATTTCTTTCTCCAGCTTACTTTATAGATGAGGAAACTGAGGTAAACAGGATTAAATGACTTGCCCAGGATCACACAGCTAGTATCTAAGGCCAGATTTGAACTTGGGTCTTCCTGACTCTAGACCCAGTGCTCTATCCACTGCAATGCTCAGACCATATCCATACACTATGTTTGGTAAAAGGCCTCACAATCTGAGAGGGATAATTCAAAACTAGGAGTTTACCCAGATGGCGAAGAGACTCAAAACCTCCTTGGATGAGGAACCGTTGAAGGAAGTGGGAAGTTTAAGTCTAGAGAAAAAAAGTCTTGGGGGAGGGAGAGGAATGTGATAATTGTTTTCGGTTATTTGAAAACCTGTCATGTGAGAAAGGGATTAGATTCTTTCTGTTTGGCTCAAAAGAACAAAAGTAAAACCGAAGGGTGGAAATTACAGGAAGATAGATTTTGATTCAACATAAGGAAGTTGCTAACAATCAAAGCTGTCCAAAAATGGAATGGTCTACCTTGGGAGGCATAATGAGTTCCTCATCACAGAAAGCATTCCAATAGAAGCTGACAGTTGAGGGATTTTGTAGAAGGGATTCTTGCATAGAATGGAAGGCTATACTAGATGACCTCTAATCTCCCTTTGAACTCTAAAATTCTGGTTCTATAATTAAATGCTCCCTCTTTTTCTCACACCAAGCCAAAGACAGATGTTAAGTGTTAGCCCTATTGTGAGGAATAGCATTTATGGCAGTTATGGCTGTAAGCCAGACATTAAAAAAAAAGTATAGAGATATTTCCACCCCATATCCCCCAACCATCCCTTTTACACAACACAAGAATGAGGCTCACATTTCAACTATGAATACCAATTAGAAGGACTAAGAAATAGCTTTCTTTAGTTAGTAAGCTGGACAAATTGAGGCCCTTTGAAATGAAAGACACTATTAGGAAATCAGCACACACACATATATTACTTTTATGAACAGCTAATAAAAATGTTGAGGGGATATTCTAATCTTGTTAACATACTTCAACAATGGAACAATGATCTGAGTGATTTTGTGACCCTGATGTGTTTCTAGACAAGCATGCCATGCTCTTTGTTACATCTGTTTAAAGTTACCTAAGGACCCTGGCAGCTGATCACTCACATTGGAGTGAATCATTCTAAATCACTGCTATGTATTTGTGGTCCTGCTTCTATTTCCTTTCTCTGGAGACGACGAATTCTTGGTTGTCCCCATGTAACTGGATCTGAAACTCCCAAACACATATAGGCACATCTGAAAACTTGCAAGCTTAGAATTTTGTTGAAATTTAAACCTCAAGGATAGTTTTAGCAACCTGAAAACAATAGCAATGAGACTTGCTTGAGGGGGACACTAACAAACACAGTCTGTGATTGCAATGGTTTTTGTCAATTTGTCTAGCACACCATAGGTTGATGCTTATGGGATTTTTAGTCATGCATCTTCTATTAAAGAAGTGCATACTCTTATGTTAACTAGCAGCTCTCCACTCAGAATCTGCCTATGAATGCTATTTAATGTGTTAAATGACTTTAAAGAATTGTTCTCCTTTTTAAAAACATTACAAATGCAGCCATTTCAGTATAGCATAAGAGCTGGGTAGTTTTGTGGGCAGTTACTTGACAGAATGGTGAGTTATACACATAATCTACAGAAAAGTAAAAATAATCATCTGAGTAAGAAATCCTTCTATTAGCTGTATGTCTGTGATTCTCATTCATGTTGGATGTTGTAGCTATAAACATATCCTATCGTGTATCCATAACTATCTGCTGATCCACGCTCTTTCTGAAGTTTGATTCTCAGGAAGATGAGAAATTACTTCAAGCAACAGAGAAGTTTCATGTTGAATGTGCCCTGAAATTTCCAAAACGACAATGCCTTACTACTGTAACTAACTTAAGTGGGAAAACAGTTTTTATCACACGTTATCTCAAGCCTTTAAACCCACCCCAGGAGCTCCTAGATATGTACCCCAATAATCCACAAACAACGGCAGTAAGTATTTAATTCCTAAATGATGTCCTTGTTAACCAAGAATGTGATATTTTAATTTCACTTAAAATGACAACCATCTTAAGAAATTTTTGTGTTCAGAGGGGATAATCTTTCGCACCAAGAGGACATCCTTATTCAGGGAGATCTGAAGGGTTATCACGAGTCACACAATATAGTTATTTCACAGAGGAGACCCTAATGACAGAAATCAAAGGGAATTTATAATACTATTTTTGTACTATCCCTGTCAAGCATAAAATTGTAGCGCAAGAACAGAACTTAGAAGTCATCTGATACAACTATTGTGCAAGGAATGAATCCTCTTTCAATATTCCTGATAAGTGATCCAGTTAATGTTTACATATCTCTGCAGCACTGGAACTCACTTCATGAGGCAGCCCTTTCTACTCTGTTAAGGAGTACTTCCTTATAGAGAGCTGAAATAGCCTGCCATTCATTCTAGCTCTCCCCCACGCGGTCAAGCAAGGTAAGTATATGGTATTAAAGGCCTGTCTCAAGCTCCAAGGCATCTTAACGAGAGTTTCAAAATTCAAATAGACCAAAAGTAATTTGTCCAAGCTTTACTTGTTTAGAAGAGGAAAAAGTGGGCCATATTTTAGCCCCAGCTCTGGGATAAACTGATGTGTGGTAACTTCAGCAAGTCACTTATTGCTCTAGGGTTCCTCCCTTGTGAACTGAGGATGCACTAGGCTCTTAACGTTGTTTTGGTTCTATGAATACTTCTAACCTACAACTACTCTTGTGAGGTGGATGGCATAGGGCAGATGCAGCTACCTAGCTAATCAAAATAGTAACTCATCAACATATAGAATCAGAATCTCAGAGTCAAAAAGGACATCAGAAGACATCTAGCCTTACATGTAACTGTTCAAGAATCTTTTCTACTTCATATTTTTCTTAGTTCTGTCCCCTGGAGCTAACAGATCTAAATTCTCTTCCACACATAATCTCTTCAGATATTTAAAAACAACTACATCCCCAGATCTTGTCTCTCTGGACCTAATAACCCCATGTCTTTTGACCAGTCCTCTTGGGGCATGGCTTCCAGATGACTTCAATCATGGGTGTGTTCTTATGGGAACTATATCTTATGGACATGCTCCATCCAGGTTGTCAATGTTCTTCCCAAAATATAGTATCTACAATTGAATATGCCCTATGAGGCCTAACCAGAGCAAGGAATAATAGGACTTTCACTTCCCTGACATACATCTTTTAATGTAGCCTAGCACGTTGGCTTTTTTGGCAGCTATGTTACAATGTTTATTCATATTGAGTTTACAGGCCACTAAAACCCAATTTTTTTTCCCACATGAACTCTTCTCTAAGTTGTTCTGCCCAAATCGTATCTTGCTTAGAGACAAAGTAAATGACTATATCCTGAACCACAGCACATGGTTAAGGCCCCTAGGCCACACCCCAGGTGGGTTTACTTATCCCTGGAAATATAGCAACCTCCCAGTATCCTGGGGTGGCCTCCCTCCCCTCGTCCCACCATGGCTTACCCTAGCTGCAAAAATTACAAGCTATTTCTCTGACTCATGGCTATAGTCTTAGGTAAAGTTTCCTGAAAGGATGTACAGGATCAGGAGACAACCACAAGAGTGGCGTCATCACCACAGACTCCAGTATTTCCAAATCTGGGCTGTGCAGTATACTTTTCTAAGCCGTAGGTGCTTACTCATCATTATTCAGTACAATGACCCAAAGCTGGTTCTCTACCTTAACTGAGACTTTTAACCTAGAGGGGTTTGTCTAACTTGTGAATGGGGATTAGCACTTACTTAATAAATTCATATCATGCCCTTCTCTTGGCAGTCCTGTGACAAAAGAGAATGGGAATCTGGCTGTGTGGCACATACTTAACACTTTGATGGCTATGACATCATAAAGATGGCTCTTTAACATATCCCCTTGTCCTATCCTTATTAGCATGACTTTTTTGAACCCAAGGGCTCTCAAAGTTTCTCTCTCTCAATTTTCATCTTATTAGCTATAAGTCATTGTTTTAACCTCTCAATAACTTTTTTAGATCTTGACTTTGTCATATAACATGTTACCTGTCTCACTCAGCTTTGTGTCATTTGCTAATCTGATAAGGAAGAAAGAGGAGCCTATAAAATCAGTCAATGAACTTTAACACTGATTCAAATGTAGACAAATTTGTAGATGCTATTGTAGACAAAACTGTAGATGCTATTACTAAAAGGGTGGTTGATAAATATCCAGAAAAGGAAGCCATGATGACAAAGAGCCTGAATGGTTTAATCAAGAACAAATCATGTCAGGCTAACTTTATTTAATTTTTTACATCAAAACTGGTAATTGCTATAGATATATTTTATAGCAAAGATTTTGATAAAATCTGTTATACTATCATTGTAGATAACTACGGTAGAGTTAGCAATACCAATGCTAATTGTATGTTAGCAATACTATGGTTAGGTTGATTTGGAGTTTAGTGAATGACTGAATACAAAAAAATAGTTATTAATGGTTTGAAATCAATCACTGAATGTCAGAGGAATAAATAGTTGGCCCGGTACTATTTAATATTTTTATTAATTACTTAGATAAAAGCATAGATAGTATCCCTAGCCAAACTCCATATAACACAAAGCAAAAAAAGCTAGTTAATCTTTTAGATGACAGAGTTGGGACTCCAAAAAATCTCAATAGCCCAGAACTTTGGGCCAAATCTAATAAAATTAAATTCAGTAAGGATAAGGATAATGTCTTACCTGAATTTAAAAACTCAGCTTCAGAAGAACTAGATTAAGGACATGTGACAAGACAGCAGTTAGTTTAAGAAAGATAAGGGAGCTTGAGTAGACTGAAAGTTCAAAAGGAGTTTAACAAATTTATTGCATTGGCAGTAAAAGACAGCATGTAGTAGATGGCGAACTGGGCTCAGAGTTAGGAATACCTGGATTCAAGTCTTGCTTCAGACATATAATGGCTGTGGAACTCTGGATAAGTCACTTAACCTCTCAGGGCCACATGTAACTCCATAAAACTATAAATTGAAGAGAAGGTATTAATCTGCATTGGTAGAGGAAGTTTCCTTACCAGAATTTCCCTATACCAGTGAAATTAGTTCTTCTAGTATTCTTCCCCATTAAAAAAAAAAAGGCAGACAAGAAATTCCAGAAATAGTCATTTTATTTGGCATTTGTTTAAACAACAAAACAAAATTAAAGAAAAAAGCAAAAAAAAAAAAAAAAAAGCAGCCCAAGCCTAAAAAAGCTAATGTGATCTTGGGATAAATTTAGGATTAGAAAGGTGATAGTTGCCCTATCATCTTCCTTGAAGCACAGAGATATATGGAATATTGCATTTAGTACTGAATTTAGTCCGTATTTTAGGAAGGACATGGATGATCCGGAGAACCCCCAGAGTGGGGCAGCCATGATGGTGAAGAGCTTTGAGGTCCTGCCATATAAGGGTCAGTTAAGGGAACTGGCAATATTTAGCCTAGCAAAGAAGACTTAGGGAGAATACGGTGGCTGTCTCCACTTAGAGGAAAGGCCATCTTCTATAGAAGTTAGATTTGTTCTGCCTAGGCCTACAGAGAATAACTAAGAGAAATGAATAAGAGATGGCTCAGCAGAAGAAATGACTGTACTCAGAGGATTTGGGTTCAGATCCTGTCTCTGATGTTTATTACTGATATGACCTTGAGCAAATACCTTGACCTTTCTAGGTCTCGGTGTTCTCATCTTAAAATAAGGAGGTTGGAATAGATAGTCTCTGATCACCTCTAGAACATTGATTCCATGATCCTAGGTTGCAAAGAGACAAATTTAGATTGGACGTAAGGGAAAACTTCGTGATGTTTAGAGTTCCTTCCAAAAATGGAAGGAATGTTCCAGGAGGAAGTGGACTTCCCAACTGATCATTAAAGAGATACAAATAAGGTACAAATGGAGTTCAGAAGAGGAAAAGATCGCTTCCAACTGGGGTAATCAAAGAAGGCTTCCTGAAGTAGGTAGCATTTTGTAAAGAGCAGGTTGGAATTCAAGTGTAGCATGGCAGGCTTTGCCAATGCTTTGCTAAAATCTAGATATACAATGTGTACAGCATTTCTATAGAGTTAGTATAATTCTTGGAGCTAAGCAGGACCTGGGTTCAAATCCTGCCTCTAACTCTTACTAAAAAACCCTGGGCAAATCACTTGATCTCCCCATGCCTATCTCCTCATCTGTAAAATGGGCATAATACAATGTTAATACCTATCTCTGAGACAATGTAAAGTACAAAAAGCTAGCCTTGGGGTCAGATCTGGGTTCAAGTCCTGCCTCTGATATATATACCACATTACCCTGAGCAAATCACCTAACTTCTCAGTGCTTCCCAAGAAACTCTCAAAGGTTATAAATTGTAAAGATTTCAATATGCATTGGTATGCTAACTTCCACTCTGACTACTGACCTCCTTGGCTTCCAACTAAAATCTTCTCTTCTGTCAGAAACCTTTACCAACCCCTCTTAATTCCGGTGCCTTCCTTATTTTAATTATTTCCCATTTATCCTGTATGTAGCTTGTTTGTACCTATGTGTTCATCTGTTGTCTCACCCGTTAGAGTGTGAGCTCCTTGAGGGCAGGGACTGTCTTTTGCCGCTTTTTGTATCCCCAGCACTTAGCACAGCGCCTGGCATGGTAGGCAATAAATGTTTACTGACTGAATGATTCTCACAAATAATATCCCATCTCCATCTCTGTGTATCTGCTCTGTCCATCCTCTACGCCTGGAAGGCACTCCCTCCTTAGCTCCAACTCTGAGCTCCCACTCTTCCCTAAAAATGAAGAGCAAGCAACCTTTCTTCATGACATCTCTACTCCTGATTCCCCTCCCTCAGTTATCAATACCATCCCTCCAAAACTACTTTGAAATGATACAGTGTCCTGGTTCCAGGCAAAATAAAGGGAAAGTTCACCTATCAGAACCCAGAGTGGTCCCAGGGTCAGACTTCAAGGTTTCAGTGGGAAGGAAATGAGGAGGTTGTGGCCTGAGGCCCAAGTGCAGACAGCATGATTTGGGTATGGTCAAGAAATGATGTGGAGGACTGATTCTAGACAAAATTTAAGGTGAGAGCAGACCCTTTAAAATGAAAGCTCACCTGTCAGAACCCACAGTGGTCCCAGGGTTAGACTCCCAGGTTCTAGTGGGAAGGTGACAAAGAGGTCAAGGATAATAGCCAAAGTGCAGTAAGTATGGTTTGGGAATGGTTTATCTAGCATAAAGTTTGCCAAACACAAAATATTCACACTTTTTGTCATTCTGTAGGAGCTTGTGGCCAGATACGTTGCTTTGATTCCTTTCTTGCCTGATAGTGTTTCATTTACTGGGATCTGTGATTTATGGAGCACATCAGATGTAAGTAAAGACAATTTTTCATTCTTCCTCATGTATTTATTAGTTCAAACTTAACTGTTACCTAGACTTTATTAAGGCGACATAAAATGTTGATTAAGCACTTGGCACTGAGAATAATAACAATAGCTAGCATTTATTTTGCACCTTAAGGCTTGCAAAGTAATTTACAAATTTTATCTTAGTTGATCCTCACAACAACTCTGGAAGGCAGGTGTGATTATTCCAATTTTACAGATGAGGAAACTGAGGTGGACAGTGGTCAACAGACTTGCCCAGGATCACACAGCTAGGAAGTGTCTGAAGTTAAATTAGAACTTGGGTCTTCCTGACTACTATCTATCTACTGTACTTTCTAGCAACCTAGTATCCTGGAGCATGCTCTTAGCCTGACTCAGCTCTGTCTATTAATACAGGAACCTACAGAGCATTAACTACCACCTGGAAGCACACGTGGGCAGATCCCCTTTCATCTTTTTTTCCAACTCTCTCTTCTTCAGTTTCACAACCATTTGTCCCCCTTGCTTCCTTAGTCGCCCATTAACAAATCCGTCCTTCTTTGAGCTTAGAAATTAGTAGGAGGTCCTTCAACCTCTTCCTACCCACCAGTCATCATTAGACTTCCTCAGTGGTCTTGGATCCTTTATTCCAGCTGGCACTGATACTGGGCCAGCTCTTCCTTAGGTGTTCTTAAGATCAAGCATCCGTGTAAGCATGCAGTTTTCATCAGACAGAATTTCTACTGCTTATTCACTGCATTTAATGTACTTCCTTTGAAAAATAAAATAAAACAAAAAAGAACCTGAATCTCTCACAATATCCAATAAATCAGGCACCATCTCAATACACAATTCCTTATAGGGTATAAACCAAAGATTTAATTACCAATCTAAACTTACCGATTCTCTAAAATTACCAGTCCAGATGTTGTCAAAATATATTGTGTAACAATTTAATGAATTCATTTAAATACCCAAGAATAAAGGTATTTATTTATTTAATTTAGATTGGTAATTTTAAGAGATATCCATTTTAATTTTAATTTAATTTAATTTAATTTTTAAAATTTTAATTTTTATTTAATTTAGATTGGTAATTTTAAGAGATATCCATTTTTTTCTACCTAAAACACTTTAAAAGCATGTATTTTTTCTCAGGGTAGACTCTAACATATTAGGCTTGTCTTTTTTCCCATCTATTTGCAGTAATCACATAAACATTCTACCTGTCAGTACCATCATCTACATCAGTGGGGTATTCCATGCACAACTTGAGTGATTTCTTTGTTGTGTGTTAAACTGGATGTCAACTTTTCATTGAGGATTTTTATATTAAGGTTTTTCCTATAAAGGCAATTTAAAAAAAAAATATGCCATGTTGAAAGTGAATAAGAGCTTGCCAAAATGATTAAGCTGCCAATCTATTTAGCAAACTATGTCTTTCTTTATTAGCAATTTCTTGATCTTCTGGCGGGAGATGAGGAAGAGCATGCAGTGCTGTTGTGTAATTATTTTCTGGCCCTGGGTAAAAAAGCCTGGCTAGTGATGGGCAGTGCTATTCCTGAGGTAAGGTCATTTGTGTTTCCCAGAAGTCACAGAGTTAAATGGTCATGCAGTTGAACCTTTCCTTTAATGAAATGTGCATCTCCTCTAAAATATCCCCACTAGTAGTCAAGGTTGAAATTTGATTTAATAGATCTAATAATCATGCAGACTTATCTTCTATAAATGTACAGAGTTGCTTACTGGAAAATGGCAAAATGACCTGTGGTTGTGCTAGGGATGACAGACTGTACCTTACTTGGACAGAGATGGAAATGGCAAACCACTGTAATATCTTCATCTAGAAGACTCCAAATGGGGTCACAAAAAGTCAGACACAACTGAAACAACTAAACAACAACAATAGCAACCTTCCTTGGGGCACTCCAGGTGCCTGGGAACCATGATGAATGTTATGGTTAAAGAAGAAGTTACAGAGGGTTCAGTCATTACTGATGGCTGCTTTCCCAACTTATTTTACTCATCCTTTGTGCCAGCACACCTTATGCAACAACTATTTTAAGATTAATATCCCTGGCCAATTAATTATCCTTAGGAAGTGAATGATGTGATAGTTTAGGAGCAGTTGATGATACTCAGCACATGGAAGCCCTATTATATCTAATTATTAATCATCATCCATACCATTCAGTGTGCTTACATAGATGACAGAGAATTCCCCAGGTTCTAAGAATTTAATTTGTATTGCTGACATATTGTTGACATAAAAAGTCAGGAGAGGTTTCCTCTTAAACCAGAGGAAAAACTAATAGTTTTATAAGACAGCCATTAGTAACATATCAACAATCATGCCAGAGGTGAATGCCACCTAGGTATTGGAACCAAGACACCAGAAAAAATTGTAAAATTTGTCTTATTCTTCAGAACTGGTTAATGATAGGTCAAGATTAAAAAGGATCAAGATTAAAAAGCAAAGTCAAAGCAGGTTTATTGGCCTAGGAGGTTACTGGTAAATGGAGGGAATAGATGTCACAGTGAAGACAAAGAAGTGGTTTAGTTCTTTCTACACTCCCTCAGTGACCTATTAACTCCAATAGACTTAATTATCATCTCTGTGCAGATGACCTACATATTTATATATCCAGTTCTGGTCCTCCCCTGAGCTTTAGTCCCACATTACTGATTGCCTATTGGACATTTCCAACTGGAAGTCCCAAAGGTGTTCAATGTCAAGACATCCAAAACAACTTCTTATCCCCACCCCAGGCCCTTCCAAACTTTCCTACTTCTGTCACAGTGACCACTGTTCTTTGAGGTTCTCAAGTTAGGAACTTTAACATCACCCTCATCTACTCACTTTTACCCCACTTACAGGATCAGCTGCCACATCTTGCGATTTCTATCTCCACAATATCACTAGCATCTTAACCCTTCTCTCTACTCAAACATCCACCACTTTGGTTCAGACCTTCATCAGCTCTCATGTTGATTGCTCCAACACCCTCCTTATCAATCTTTCTGCCCCCAAATCTCTCCCTACTCCAGTCCATCCTCCACATAGCTGCCAAAGTGGTTTTTCCTTAAGCACAGATGTAACCATGACATCTCCTTAATAAACTCAAGTGGCCTATTGACTAAGATAAAATATAAATTCCTCTGTTTGGCTTTTTAAAACCTTTCACAACCTGGCCCAAAACTATCTTTCTAGTCTCTCTATACATTACTCTCCTTCCCATATTCTTCAATCCAACCAAATTCACTTTCTTCCTGTTCCTCACACATGACACTCCATAGCCTTTGTACTGGCTATCCCACATGCCCAGAATACACTCCCTTCTCAACCTTTCCTCACAAAATCCCTGTCTTCCTTCAAGACATAACTCAAGCACCACTTTCTAGATGAAAATTTTCCTGATCTCCACCAATTTTTAGTGCCTTCCTCCCCTAACTACCTTTTAAACTACCTTGTACTTATTTGTTCTATATTTATTCTGTATGTATTTATATATGTACTTGTTTCCCTGGTTGAATGTAAATTTCCCTGGGAATATGGAGTTTTTGCTCATCCCCAGGACCAAGCACAGTATGGGTCACATAGGAAGTGCTTAATTAATGCAGAGATGGAAGATAGGAGGTTATGATCAGGTAGATCAGCAATCCTCAAAATTTTTGGTCTGAAGACCCTTCTATGCTCTTAAAAATTACTGAGGACCTCCTAAAGGGCTTTTGTTTAAGTGGATTATATCTATCAACATTCTCTGTGTCAGCAAAGGAGACTGGGAGATTAGGGTATTTAAGAGAGCATCAACAGATATACTAAAGGCAACTTAATACAAAGGTCAGAATTGGGAAGGAGAGAAAAGCAGCAAGTCAGGTACTAAACTCTTGAGAAAAGAGGCAGAATGACCCAGGGGCCAAAAGAAAATAGCTACCATAATCTGGATTGGATAATAAATTTTAATAGAGTGAATTTTAGAGATAGAGAGATTGCTATATGTTGGCAAGAGAAGAAGACTCCAAAAGTACCAATAGGGAACAAAGTGTATTCTGACTCCTGTTCCAAGACCAGTGTGATAAAGGGTATGGAAGCAGGTGCAGCTACTACTGGAGAGAATGCCCAGGAAAACAGTATTATCTAGGAAGCTGGGTTTCTCTGAGTACCAAAAGATAGAAAGAATATAAGAAGTCCAAAATGAAGGAAAATCGACATGAGAAAATGGAAGATGAGGAATTGAGGGGTTGGCTATAGTTTAATATAATAAGAAAATTATTTTATATGTTATGTATATTATTTATATATGTATTTTATATTACTTAATTATAATAAGAAACTCTAACCTGGAGCTCCAAGAAGTTATAGCATGCACAGTGGTCACACCCTGGTAAGACCATCTTAGCAGACAGACTAAACCAGGTTGAGGATAACTAACAGGTTTCAAACCTGTCAGAGAGCTAGAGGATTGTCTACTCCCTGCATGTGAAGATTTCCCCTGGTTGAATAGGTGGATGAGAACAATTTGTTCCAGCAGTCATGAAGGTAGGTAAAGCAGGCACCATGGAGCGCTTAGAGCTTGGTCAGACATCAAAGACACCAAGGTCGTCCACTGCATCCTGGGCCATTGTTAATTGTCTTGACTTCTGTCTTACCACCGGACTTCGGTGACTCTGGAAGAGAGAGTGAGGCTGATGATTTTGTGCAACTCTGCCTCAATTTAATCCAACTCATACAAGTCAAGATATCACCCATCATCCACTATTTTACCCAATATTATGATGTCATTGGTACTCTTCAAAAACAAAGGACAAACAGCAACTATATTAAGAACCTACTAAGTGTCAAACTGTAGGCTAGAAGCTGAGGAAGATAAAAAGTTGAGATATAACATAATACCTGCCCCCCTGGAGCTTACAGTCTAATTGAGTAAAAATTGTGCAGAAAAAATACAAATATTTTAGGGAGAGGCAAGGTACTATGTGGGTTCTGAAGATAGACTGGCCAAAACCTGCAACTAAAATATGAATGAGCAAAAGGCTTAACCCTCCCTGGAGCTTCAAAGATTTAAACCTGGAAGGAACCGTGATGAACCATAACTACAGGAGAAGCCATAACTATAGGGTCATCTAGTCTAACCACTACATTTATTTTTTACAGATAGGGCAGAGAATCTTATAACATCACAAAGCAAACTTCTGGGTGATTTTTAAAAAAGCATCTATTAATAGATTTCAACCTGCAACAGCAGAAGAATGTAGATCCGCTCAACAATAAAGTGGTCCTTTCCTGTGTTACCACAGGGAGTAAATGAAAGAGCAAGACTTTGAACCCAGATGTCTTCACTTCAAATCCTGCACATTTTCCACTACCCCAGTGATATTAAATGCAAATAGAAATGAATCCCTTTGGGGAGTATACTGATTTAGCAAACCACAAATTAATATTAGCTTTGCTGTATTGTATTTTTGTATATTTTATTAAACATTTCCCAATTACATTTTAATCTGGTTCAGTACTTATGTCAGCCCGCCCTCTGTACTACGCCATATTGCTTCTTGAGTTACTTCATTTTAAGGTTGCTGATTAGGATATGGGGGGAAAGGATAGAGATTTGTGAGCAAGGCAATCCCTGTGATTCCTGTCTCCTTCTACTCCATCACCTATCCCAACAACAATGGCTACTAACCCTCCCCCTCGTGCAAATAGATTGTCAGCAACTTGACACCTCATTCTCAAAAGCTGGCAACTTCTGATCTAAGCTTTATACATCTGTTCTAAGTTAGGAAGAAATTAGTGCTACTGTGTTCACAGATGCTAAAATTGGAAAAAATTCAGAGAAGAATCACATGGCCCCTGCCCAAAGATGACACCCAAATTTGCAAAGCATTCCATATTCTTGAACTGTTCATGTTCGTGGAATTTTGTCAAACTCAGAAAAACAAAAAATTAAAATATGAAATTTAGAGTTTGGAGGAAAGGTCTCATACACAAAATAGGATTGTTTTGTCCTAGGATTTTATGGAAAGATCTCCTTTGGAAAGCCCATTTCATATTATTTAGAGAAGATACCCCTTAGTGTGTTCACTAATATTTAGGGTGGTTGTAAGACATACTAATGTAAAATCTTTTGTGGGAACAAAGTATTCATCCATGGGAAAGTTGAGTATTTGAGGACATCATGGTAATATATAAAGCTAAGGACATGGCTACTGGTCATTTTGAGAAAGTCTTCCTTCCCAGTGACGACTATACTCACAGTTGAGATTACTATTTAATCTTCTTGCCTTGCTGACAAAATAGCACCAGTGTTAGCATTAGAGAATTACTGTTATCTCTTTTAAGCCAAAATTAAGGATTAATAGCTGTTCAGGCTAGATAGAGCTTTACAGCATACAAAACTCTTTCCCCAACCAACAGTCCTTTGAAGTAGATAGTCCAAATGTGGCTTCGCAGGTATGGAAAGGTCCACTTCATTGTTGAGCGGATCTACATTCTTCTGCTGTTGCAGGTTGAAATCTATTAATAGATGCTTTTTTTAAAATCACCCAGAAGTTTGCTTTGTGATGTTATGAGATTCCCTGCCCTTAACTAGGCCAGTCCCTCAGAAGACAAATACAGTTTATCATGGGATCTGTGCCTGAAACCTTTCTTAGTAAAACTTGCCAGAGTTTACACTCCAGTAATAAAACCTTCAAGTGTCCAGAGTCACTTCTACTAATGATGAAGTGATAAAGGAGAACTATTTTGAAGGGGTGTAAGCATTATAATCCAAATTTTCTAGATGAGGAAATAAGGCAAAGACTCAAATCCTGTTCCTTTAACCCCTAAGCCCACTGTTCTTTCAGTTACACTATAAAAATAAACAGAGTAGGGTAGCTAATGTTCCTTGGATAAAATTTTGTCCTTGGGCAACCGAATTTATGGTTTTAATCAGCTTAAACCTAAAATTTCAGAAGTATTCTCTATGTGACTTTGGAAATATTAATTTATGATTTAAAGTAATAACCTAACAATGCAAAACTCCAACCAGTGCTGTGGACTACTAAAGTATAAGCTCAAAAATCATCCAGTTTTTAATAAGTATTTACTTTTCCTCCAGGGTCCAACTGCCTATGTGCTAACTTGGGAACAAAGCCAATATTTAATATGGAATCCCTGTAGTGGACGCTTTTATGGACAGTTTGATACATTTTGTCCTTTAAAAAGTGTGGGCTGCTTAATAAGTCCTGACAATGTAAGTGTTCCACAGTTCCTTTTATATAGGGATCACTGCTTTCTTTTTTCCATTTAATATTTCAACAATATTGTATATTATTGGTTTATTTGTTATATGTAAATCATGTCTTTCTAATAATCACTTATAATGGCAAATTAACTTTAAAATTATACTTTCACTGTGTCCAACCATAGGAACAGAATTCAAATATACCTTTTGTTTAAATTCACCTTCTTTAGTAAAGATAATTAATGGGTTGATCCTTGGATTAATCTCCCGTGTCAAGTTTAAAGAATTATATAAAGTCATCAATAACCAAGTAGTGCCAATATATTTTAGGGGAGGAAACCTGCTGGTAATGCAAATAAGGTCTGTCCAGTTGGGAACTAGTTTTATTCATTTCCATAATTATGTAGTAAAGTTCTTAGAAGTTAAAGGTGCATTTCCCTTATATTAATTTTACAGTTCTCTTACAATTATGTATAGCATTGTCTCTCTTCTGACAAAAGGAATATACAATGAATTTTAATATTGTACATGTTCTAAATAAATGTTCTAAAGAGACTAGGCCCCCCAAATGTGGTTAACAACTATCTGCTAATGTATTTCAATTGGTTCTTTAGATTTGGTTTAATATTCAACGGTATGATTCTCCAATGAGGATAAATTTTGACATCACCAAACCCAAACTATGGAAATCTTTTTTTTCAAGAAGTCTTCCATATCCAGGGCTTTCAAGTGTTCAGGTATTTATATTATCTTTGTTATGTGTGGATTAAAATTGCCCAATCTGCAAGAAAAAGCACTGAGGCAGAGCTCTGAGCCAAAGGCACTTTATTAAAGGGTCCATGGTCCCCTCTAACGAAATACACCTTAAATCTTCCTCATGCTCAGATGCTCCTGGTCCCAGGATCCAATTATTGTTATAGGGTTTGATACCCAAATATGCAAAAGAGATATGGTTGATAGGCCTTGCTCTTGAGGGTCAATAGTGATGGATCAGCAGGGAGGTCACAGGTTGCGTGAAGCATGGGGCATCTCTATTGGCTAAGTGGTCATAAGAGGGCCATAAGATTGTCACCTGCTCACAATGGACAAGAGAATTGTCTGGAGGTACAAAAATCAGTTGGGGGACTTTCCAAAGAATCAAGGAATCCCCACCCATGCTGGGTTGGGACATGGAATTTGAGCAAAACAAGATGGAGATAACTTTGTCAGCATTCCTGTGGTTGCACAAGTAAGCCTCATAACTTGGTAAACAAGTAGTGAACATTACATTAAAGTTTGAAGTCTATTATAAAGGCCTATACTATAAGAACCTATCTTATATAATTCTCCTTATATGATTTATGTAAAATATAAAACTGATTAATACAGATTGGAATAGAGTAGGGGGCCAAATGAATTATTTCTCATAGTTGCCAATTGATAGACATGTGTAAACATGTAAAAGAGGAGAACACAGAATCATTTTAATAGCCAGAACTTTTCAATAGTTATCTTGCACAAAGAGGTAGAGATATATTCAAGATATATTATTTCATGAAATCAAAGCTTTTTTTAATTCTTCATATCTTTTTCAAATTCTAAAACATTTCTTCTCAGCCTGAAGAATTAATTTACCAACATACAGACAAAGTTGCTGCAGTAGAACTACAAGACAGGTAATTTTCTCTCTATAATTCCCTGTCTAATTCTCTGGGTAACAACAAATACCCTGTGAGTTGAAGTCTAAATCAATGAGGCAGAGGATTTAATTATTTTTCTCCATTTCTAAACAGAACTAATACCGTTTCCTACTCTGTACATACACTGTACATTATTAGTTGGTGTATATGAACAAACTTGTCCCACATTGTACCTCTGTTGGTGCAGGGTATATTTTGACCTTAGGACCAACCCTGAGCATGAACTAAGAACTAAATGCCTCAAGTCCTGACCATCATTCTTTTTCCCTTGATCTTATTAAAAATAACTCACCACAAATTCCTTTCAGCCAGGAGCAGATACCAGTTGGTAGTCATTTAGGTTCAGTGTTGTGAAGATGTGTTGTGAATTAGGTTTAGACTTTAAATTGTGCAATGTTTTATTCAATATTGGTCAGTTAAGTATTATGAGTCATAAAATAACATGTTTTGTTCTTTTCTTTGGCTCATATGAAAATCAAGATAATTGAAGACACATGCAGAAAAAATTAAAGGGGTTGCTATTTGCCATTTTCAAAAATGTCAGGGGCAGGATGGGAGGGAGAAAGAGTGCTTTATGTAATAATTACAGAAGTTAGCAATTTCTTTATTGGCCTAATATGAACCTCTCAAGGAAGCACCTAAGTTTGGTCCTGACTGTTCAAATTACTTCATCTATATAATGAGACTGGACAAGATAATCTCTAAAGCCCTTTCTAAGCTAACATTCTGTGATACACATATTCTAAATTCAAGCTATGAGATCTTACCCCCATAGTGTCTATAAACATCTGTCTCCAAATGACAACCAAGATGCATGTTCTAATTCCTTAAGTCTTGGTAAGAATATCAGAGTGGACAAACAGTAGATGGGAAGTCAGGAGAGGTGAGGTTTATATCCTAGCTTTGCTACTTACTGCCTATTTATCTTTGGACAAGTCACTTTAGTTCTTTAGAGCCATTTCTTCATCTGTAAAATGGAGGGCTTAGACAGAATGCTATCTCAAGTTTCTTACAATGCTAAATACTACAACCCCTCAAATACTATAACCCCTCAGGTAAATCATGGCCCTTAGAATCAGAATCCCACTGTTGGGATTTCAGAAGCCACTTCGTCCAACCCATACCAAAACCACAAATCCACTCCACAACATTCCCTCTCACAAGTCAATGACAGAAAAAGAAAAATCCTCTCTACCAAAATATTCATAGCAACACTAATAAAGAAAATCTGGAAATAAAGTGTGTCCATAAAATTGAGGAACAGGGGCAGCTAGGTGGCACAGTGGATAGAACACTGGCCCTGAAGTCAGAAGGACCTGAGATCAAATCTGGCCTCAGACCAAACACTTGACACTCACTAGCTATGTGACCATAGGCAAGTCATTTAACCCCAATTGCCTAAAAAAAAAAAATTGAGGAACAGTTGAACAAATTATGATACACAAATGAAAGGAGTTATCATAAAGTAAGGAGTTTTAGTAAAATAAGTAATACTTTAGTAGAGTAAGGAGAGAATTATTATAGAGTATGGAAAACTCAAGAAAACATGAAAAAGCTTGCATAAACTGATGCACAGTAAAGAAATCAAAATCAAAAGAACAGTATATACAACAGTATTTATAGATTACAAGAGGTAACAAAATTCAGGTCAAACAAAACAGATAATGTTGATTCATAATCATTAAAGTTAAAATACACATCCTTCCTTTCTGTTAAATTGTAAAATGTGATGATGTCTCCATCCCTGTTAAATAGTTTTGTTTAACTGATTTTTATGAAAAAATACTAGGGTTAAAAAAAAAAGAAAAAACAGGGGTAAGGAAGGGTGCTTGTTGAGAAGTGACTGATATGTCCATCAAAACAAAACGTATACTCCCCCCCCAAAAAAACACTATTAGTAAAAGAATCTCTAGCATCTGCTTATATGACTTCAATTAAGAAAGGTTAACTCATTACTAAAAGCACTCATTTGAAAATATATTATTAAGTGACTTTTGTGTGCAGGACACTGTGTTAACAGCTAGGATACAAAGAGAAATAAGGTGGAGTGTACAGTCTAATGGGAAAAAAGCTTGTTGTTCAGTTGTTTCAGTCATGCTGACTCTTCGTGACCCCATTTAGGGTTTTCTTGGCAAAGATACTAGAGTGGTTTGCCATTTCTTTCTCCAGCTCATTTTACAGATGAGGAGACTGAAGCAAACAGGGTTAAGTGACTTGCCTCCAATCACACAGCTAATAAACATCTGAGGCCATATTTGAACTCTGGTCTTCCTGACTTTACATCTAGTGCTATATCTGCTGCACCACCTCTCAATGAGAGAAGACAAAGTCACAAATTACAATACATAAGAAAATGATCTAAGTAAGCATAAACATCCAGAGAAAGGGCTATGAGAAATTTGAGGAAGGAAGAAGAATCATTTTACCTGGGGAGTCAGGGAAGACTCAATAGAAGAAGAGAAATATTAATTTAGTCCTGAAGGAAAAGAAGTATTTCAAGAGAAATAAAAGAGTCATTCCAAATATGGGGAACGGCATGAATAAAAAGGATGTAACAGAACAAGAACAGGAAATGGACAGTGATCCTGTTAGACTGAAGCACTGAGTCTATGACAAGAAGCCGCATTAGAGAAGGCTAATAAGTAAGGTTGGACCTAGACAACAAAGGTACTTAAAAGCCAGAACAAGGAGTTTATGCTTTTATTCACTAAGCAATGGGAAGCTACCCAAGTGTTCTGAGTGGAGGAATAACACGATCAGAGTGATTCAAAAGGAAAATTATTCAGAGTAGGCAGTAATGTGAAGTACAACAACTGGTGGAAAGGGGCTAGACTAGGAGTAAAACCAGTCAGGACTCTGTCACAATAACTTAAGCAAGAATTTAGGAATTCAGGTGGCTGAGGTGGGAGGGGTGAGGAGGAAACAAATGCAAGAAATTGTAGAGGTTGAAGCAATAGGTCTTGGCAATTTATTTGGACATACTGAATGAAGAAAAAGGAAGGGTAAAAGATCACTCAGAAGTTACAAGAGCCTGAGTGACTGGAAAAATGGTGGCAACACCAATAGAAATACAGAAGTTAGAAATCAGTAGTACAATGCTACAACAATGAGAAGAAAAAGAAATTATGGAAATAAGCATAGGCAAAGAAGAAATAAAATTGTTGCTTTTGTAGATGATATGATGATGTACTTAAGGAACCCTGAGTAAATAAAAAAAAATTAATTGAAATAATAACTAAAGCTGCAGGACATAACTAATACATAGAAATCATCAGAATTTCTACATAATACCAATAAAACACAGCAGGAAGAGGTTGAAAGAGAAATTCTATTTAAATAATAGGAAGAAAACAAGCATTTATTAAATACTACTATGTGCCAGGCATTGAGCTAAGTGTTTTAAATTTAAATTAAAGAAAATGTAAACTACTTGATTGGGAGTCTACCTACCAAGATATCCACAAGATGAAAATATAACTACAAACCACCATTTAGAAAAAATAAGGAATAAAGACAGACCTAAGTAATTAGAAAAATCTTATTTGTTCATAGTCAGGATGACAATTCTAATAAATTAATTTACCTATGCCAAATCAATCAAACTACTAGAGAATTGCTTTGTAAAATTAGAAAAAAATTACAAAATGTATATGTTTAAAAAAAAGGTCAAGAAACACAAGGGAAATAATGAAAAAAAAAGTACAAACAAAAGGGCAATACAAGACCTCAAACTACTACAAAGAGGTAATTCTTTAAGTGATCTATAAGGTAACAATAGGACTAGAAGCACCACCTACAATCATGTAACAAAGTCAACTAGGCCCCTAAATGTATCTGTTTCTATCCTTTTTAAAGTCTATTATTTACCTTATGCTCAATATGAGCAAAAAGGGCCTTATGAACAGAAAAATTGAAAAACTAAAAATCCTATAAATTATAATTATAAATTATAATTAAGTTTTATAATTACAAATTAAATCTTATGTTCATCATGCCAAAAAAAAAAAATTGGTACCTCAAAGCCCTATCCTTCCCTGTCTCTGATTATAGAGGTTATAGAGGATAGGGAAAGTTTAAAACAAAAATCAAAAAATGACATACTCAAGAATAGTAATAATATCTCATTTAGCACACCAGGGTTTCCAAAGCATTTTCTTCACAATCAGCCTGTGAAATTTTGCCTATAAATTCTTTTTCTCTACTAACTCTGGAATTGAGGTATTTACTATAATTGTACAAGTGGTTGGTTTGAACCACTGGGCAAATAAGACACACATAGTAAGTGAATCCTCTTACAATTTTCACTGTGGCTAGATTATAGAACAGTCCCCTATAGACCAAATCTTTTTTTTATATGCAGGATTGAAAAAATACTAAGGGAGAAAATCATGGAATGGAGACCACGCCACATGACTCGATGGAATAGATATTGTACGTCTACTCTACGACACTTCCTGCCTTTGCTAGAAAAGAACCAAGGGAAAGATATAGAAGATGACCATAGAGCAGAACTCCTCCGACAGCTAGGAGATTATAGGGTAAGAGAGAATATGCGTGGTCTTTTGAAATGAATACAGTTTCCTACTTGAGAGGAAATATTCATAAAACATGGCACTTTGAGACTGAAAATCACCTAATCAAGTTACTTGCCCAGATAACTCACTTTTACCCCATAAGTTTACTTTTACTTATATGTGTGTTGCATTAAGCAGATGAATAGAAATATAAATTGGGAACATAAATTCTGAATGTTTTATCATTAACTTTCTCTGAAATCTAGAAGATATAAAAGGTATTTTATCTACCAAATAGGAGACTAGGGAAATCATTTCTGTCAAAGTATTGCATAAGGAATAACTAGCCATTTAAAAATGAAATTCAAGTACTAAGAACAATTAGCTAAAGCACTTTAGATTAAGCAACCAATTAAAGTACATAAATTAACCAATCTTCATGGTATGCTATTTGGCTATTTAATAGACCCATCATTACTTTTTTTAAACTTTCTTTTTCTTTTTTTGGTCTCTGTGTGTGTTGTTTTTTTTTTTCACATGACTAATATGGAAATGTTTTGTATGTCTGCACATGTATAACCTATATCAAATTACTTGCCTTTTCAATGAGGGGGGAGGGCAGGAAGGTAGAGAATTTGGAACTCAAAAATTTTTTAAATGAATGTTAAAAACTGTTTTTACATGTTATTGGGGGGAATTTTTTTAATTGACCCATCAGATTTAATTATACATAATTCCTAAATTAACACTCTCTCCTCCCTCATTAAGCTCTAGTTTATATATAAAACCCAGAAAGTTACCATAACCAAAAATTAGCCTTGTTACTTCAGGTGCATCAGACAATTGACTGAATAGTTTAGTTCATAAGACCAAATATTTATTTATGGATAAATTTCTTACAACTCCAACTAAAACATTTCTTACCTTTAAGGTAAACTATTCTGAGAAACACTAACATAGTCACAGAGTTAATTTGCCTGCTCCCATAAATTAGATTGCTTATAAGGTAGCAGTCTAATTCACATACATCTCAAGTATGTGTGATACACACATACTTTTGTGCATAAATAGAATAACTAAACAAAGGAACTCCAATCCAGCAGTTGGGTCAGTTATATATGGGAACTACAATACATCTACAGAAAAAAAAAATTAAAAATTTTAGGAAAGAGCTTTTTTATATGCTGATTTAAAAAAAATCTTTAATGATTTTATTTTCCCCTCTAGTTCTCTGGATTCCCAATTCATATGGCATTTTCTGAAGTGAAGCCTTTGATAGAGGCTGTATACAGCACTGGAGTTCACAACATTGATATCTCCAATGTTGAGTTTGCTTTAGCTGTCTACGTACATGCCTATCCCAAAAACGTGCTCTCTGTGTGGGTCTACGTGGCTTCACTTGTTCGTAACAAATGAATGCTCCACATCATGCACTGCATAATTGAGCGTGCCACAGGTAAAATTAAATCAAGAACAGCACTGGTCACTCTGGGTAACGGGGCAGTACATTTTCAGTTGTCAAGGATAGAACAGGTGTGCTTAATCTGAAGGCCATAAAAAAAAACAAAACCTGATAGATTTACCTCATTTAGATACTACTGGTTTTATCCTGAAGCTTACAGAGATAAATTTTTTCTATTTGTAAAGATGGTATTTTAGATATGATTTTTAGGAAATTTACCAATTACATATATACAGACTACAATTTAACTACAGTTGTGTGTGACTTGACAATACGTAAATGAATTTATTAACTTAGACAATAAACATCTTTAAGAAACATCTTAGATCTTTAAGAAACTTTTACAATACAGTATGTGCCCTTTTGTTACTTGCTTTACATGATTTGACATCACGTTCAAGCTTATGGTACAACCTTTAATTCTTCATCATGAAACCACAGTTTTATCACAATGAATGTTAAGCATGCCTTTAATGAACTGTTCATTTTTCCAATTCTATCTTTCATTATAGTTTATAGGTTTTAATGGACTCTAAATTAAATGAATGTACTTGAAGTATATCTATCTAATTCTATTAGATAAATTGCTTAACTTTTTGTGGCATGGCGTAAGTTTATATTTCAGAATTCCCTTGCCATTTAGGAATTTCTAAAAACTCAAAACAAGTTTGTTTCTCAAGATATCAATGTATTGGGGAAGCTAGGTGGCACAATGGATACAGTACTGGCCCTGAAGTCAAGAGGACCTGAGTTCAAATCTGACCTCAGACCAAACACTTGACACTAGCTGTGTGACCCTGGGCAAGTCACTTAACCCCAATTGCTTAAAAATAAAAAAATTAAAAATTAAAAAAATATATATCAATCTATTTATCAGAGCTGAGAAATACTTCCAGGACCACTGAAAGTAAAAAAAAAAAAAAAAGGTTGGGTTTTTTTTTTTTTAGGGTGTAGATGTTTCCATTTGATGAATATACCCAGTTCTCACAGGTTCACTTGGAGTTCTTCTCTGACCATAGTTTTGTTATGGCACTAAATAAAGGAGTTTCATAAGCCCTTTTTGCAGCCTTCAGTACTCTAGTCATATTAGTGTAGTCCACGGCAAGTAGTTTTCTTCACAGGGATGAGTTTTTTTGGTTGTTGTGGTTGTTAAGCTGTTTCAGTCACGTCTGACTCTTCATGACCCCATCTGAGGCTTTCTTGACAAAGATATGGGTGTGGTTGAGTGACAGGTGGACACCAAAGGTGGATGAGCAGCACTAAGAAGGCCTCAGCAACCCTTCATTCCAGAGGTGCTAATCCTCCCTGAATACCCCATATACCTGCTGTCACCTGTGACTCCAAGAAGCATGCACAGCAGCCACACCCCAATAAAACCGTCTTGGCAGAAAGGCTAAACCAGGTTGAGGGTAACTGACAGGACTCAAGCCTGTCAGTGAGTTAGGGGGATGTCCACCCCAAGCATGTGAAGGCTTCCCCCAGTGGAATGGGTAGATAAGAACAATTTGTTCTAACAGCCATGGAGGCAGCTGAAGTGGGCAGTGTGGAGCTCTTAGAGCTTGGTCAAACATCAAAGATGCCAACGTCATCCACTGCATCCTGGGCCACTGCTAGTCATCTTGACTTTTATCTTGCCATTGGATTTCAATGACTCTGGAAGAGAGAGTAAAGCTGACAGCTTTGTACAACTCTGCCTCGCTTAAATCCAATTCAAGTCATCACCTCATGATGTCATTAGTCCTCTTTGAAAACGAAGGACAAACAGTAACAACTAAAGTGGTTTGCCATTTCCTTCTCCAGGTCATTTTACAGATGAAGAAAACAAGCAGGGTTAAGAGACTTGCCCAGAGTCATACAGCTATTAAGTATCTAAGGCCAAATTTGAATTCAAGTCTTCCTGACTCCAGGTCTGGCACTCTATCCATTGTGTCACCTAGCTGCCCTACAGGAATGATTAGTATCTGTTTTTTGTTTTTTATTTATTTTTGCTTTTTGGTGAGGCAATTGGGGTTAAGTGACTTGCCCAGAGTCACATAGCTACTAAGTGTCAAGTGTCTGAGGCTAGATTTGAACTCAGGTCCTCCTGACTCTAAGGTCAGAGCTCTACTCACTGCGCCACCTAGTTGCCCCAAAATACAAGTAGATTTTTTTTTTTTTTGCAGGCAATCAAGGTTAAGTGACTTGCCCAGCGTCACACAGCTAGTAAGTGTCTGAGGCTGGATTTGAACTCGGGTCCTCCTTATTCAGGACCAGTGCTTTATCCATTGTGCCACCTAGCTGCCCCTGTTTTGTTTTGGTTTTTTACTGGTCTTATTGCTATTCTTCCAACTTCAAGAGGTTTATTCCTTCCTCACTGAAGAGGAATCAATAACAATCCATTCAGCAGCAAGTCTCTCTAAAAATCCAGTTTGTTTTCTGACCATCAGGCTGTTTTGCAGCAATTACTTACTGCACATGTTGTGTCTTGACTTTTTTTCTCATTTTTAGCACATTCTCATTTGTATTTTGGTTTGGATCCTGTTTCATCACGGGCTTGAATGATCCTTGAAACAAAAGCTACTGAAATACCTCTAACAATCAAATTGCTCTCTTAAGAGCTACAATTTTTGCATGTTTCATTGGAGAGAGAAAAACGAGTTAAAACACAAGAAGACAATAATGAAATATGTATAGCATGAAATGCAGCACTTAGCTGACAGGGAATTAATTAAAGGCAGGGAAATCAATTCAATCTGGTTTCATCTGATCAAAATTAAGTGGAAGTACACAATCATTGCTATCACCAAATGAGACCATTTCAAAAATTTATGCTGGTCCCAAAGAAATTTGTACACCACTATATTAACTAAACCAATACTTCAAACTGTTCAAACAGCTCCTACACACTAGCAAATTTCAATTTAAGTTAAGAATATAAACACCAAGATGGTATTTAAAAAAGTATCATTGAATTGATGCAAAGCGAAATGAGAAAAGTCAGGAGGTCATCGTACACAGTAATGGCAATATTATACAGCAATAATGATCAACTGTGAATGACTTAACTATTCTCAGCGACACAATGATCCAAGACAATTTTGAAGGATTTATGATGAAAAATGCTATCTACTTCCAGAGAAAGAACTGATAGTCTAAATGCAGATCAAAGAATACTTTTTTTTACTTTATTTTTCTCATTTTCAGGGTGTTTTGTTTCGGTCTGTGCTCTGTTTTGCAACATGGGTAATACAGAAACATGTTTTGCATGACTGTGTATATATAATCTATATCAAAGTGCTTGCCTTCTCAAGGAGGGGGGAGGAAAAGGAAGGAGGGAATTTGGAACTCAAAAATTATTTTTTAAAAAGTATGTTAAAATTGTTTTTACACATAATTGAGAAAATTGAAACAAAAACATTATTTAAAAAATACCATTGGGGCAGCGAGGTGGTGCATTGGATAGAGCACCCGCCCTAGAGTCAGGAGGACTTGAGTTTAAATCTGGCCTCAGACACTGATACTTACTAGTTGTACGACCTTGGGCAAGCCACTTAACCCTAACTGCCTTGCAAAAAAACAAAAAAAAGAAAGAAAAAATACCATTGAGGTACATTGATAGATACATTAAGATATATTAAGCAAACACAAAATGATAATATACAGTCAGAATTTCTGGAACACTAATTGGGTTTCTGTATTTTAAAAAGCTATGGAAAGAGACCAAAAACGGTCTAAAGGGAAAAGCAACAAAAGCAAGTAAAGGAGTGGGAAGCAGGCAAACAGAGGAAGCCAAAGAGTACATTCAAGGACAGCATTATCATGGAAGTGATCATCCATTTCTAGAATACTTAAAAAGACAGAGAAAAAAAAATTTTAAAAACAAAAGAAGAAATGGATTAAATTATGCCAGGTAACAACTAGGCAAACTAATTAGTAAAGATTAGAACTAAACTCTTTCAAATGGTTTAGGAAGGAAACCAGTCCACCAAAATAATAAAAAGTAAAAATATGAGAGACCTAACAGGAGATATAGTACAACACCAAAGCATGAACCCTCAAAATATCCCTAACAAATGGTCATCCAGCCTCTGTTCGAAGAATACAAATCAAGAGAAACTCATTACCTTCACCCCACCACCACGGCAACAGATCATCCTATTTGTGCACAGCTCTATTATCCTGAAATCTTTACTGTTATCTTTCAGAAATCAATTTATCTTCCAACAAAAAAAATTTAGCTCAACAATTTAATTTGAACAGACATAACAAATTAGGACATAATACTTTCCAAAACAAATGACTATGGCAACTGTAGAGCATTAGTATGCAATCAGTTAGCTGACAATGAACTAGACCTTTGGTTTGGGAATTGTCTGCATCAGCATTTTATTATGAAAGTCTTATTCTGCTATACATTACAGCTAGAGTAATAGAAATAACTGAACTAAAAGTCAGAGGACCTGAATTTACATATCAGCTCAACTACTTACTATCTTTGTGACTTTGATAAATCCTCTTCCTTCTCTGGGTCCCAGATTCCTCACCTTTAAAATAAATGGATAGGATCAGATGATCTGCAGGGTCCCCCCCCTTCCACTCTAAATTTAGGATCCTTCGAGGTTTTAAATTTTGATTGACATTGGCCTATTGATATTATAATAATGTATGATTCTAATGTATTTGACTTTTGACACATTGGCAAAGATGACAAAAGATTACAATAATAATATTGGGGAATTTGTGGAAAGATACACTTATGCATTGTTGATGGAGCTGTAAATTGGTCCAACTATTCTGGAAAGAAATTTGGAATTATGTAAAGAAAATTACTGCAATTTCCATACTTTCTGACTTAGTAATTCCACTCTAAATATATATGCCAAAGAAGTCAGTGGCAAAAAGGCCCCATATTCACTAAAATATTTACAGAAATGTTTTTTGTAATAGCCAATTTTTTAAAAAAGTACTTGTCCATCAATTAGGGAATGGCTGAAACAATTGTTAAATAGGAATGA